GGGGTTCACCCCCAAAGTGGGGGGGAAACAGAGACCCCAAAATGGGGGATGGAGGAGATGGGGTCACCCCAAAATAACGGGGGGAAGGGGTACCCCGAAATGGTGGGGAATGGAGGAAAGGCGGGGGTCACCCCAAAATGGGGTCAATGGCAGAGGGGTTGGGACCCCAAAATGGGGGGAGGCACTGGAAAGGAGGAGTTTTCACCCCAAAAAGGGGGGGGGGACAGGGAGGGGAGGGGATGCACCCCAAAATACGGGGGGGGCTGGGAGGGAGCCTCACCCCCAAATGGGGGGGCAGTGCCAGGAGGGGGCTGAGCCCCAAAATGGGGTTCGGGGGGGGGAATGAGGGGGGGGAAGCCCCAAATCCCTCAGTGCCAGGCCCGGGGTCACCCCAAAAGAGCCGGGGGGGGGCCCGAATCCCCCCGATGGGGTTTAAAGCCCCCCCGGATCCACCCACGGGGGGGGGGGCAGAGGCACCCCCAAATGGGGCTTGTGGGGGGGGGGGTCGCCCGAATTCCCCCCTTAGAACAGGGCTGAGGAGGCCCCCAATGGGGGGGTGGGGGGGGCAGCCCCCCCCCTGGAGGCGCGGGGGGTCCCCGGAGGGCTCGGGGGGTCCCGGCCCCCCCTGGGCTCTGGATCCCCCCCCCGGGGCTCAGCGCATGCGGGGGGGGGGCGCGGGGGGGCCCCGGCGCGGGGGGGGGCCGGGGCGGGGGGGGGGGCGCGGGGGGGGCTCAGAGGGGGTCGAGCATCGTCCGGGGGAGGTGTTGGGGGGGGGGGAGGGGAGATGGAGGAGGGGGGATGGGGGGCGGGGGATGCTGGGGGGAGGCGGATGGGGGCTGTGGGGCAGGGGATGGGGATGTGGGGCTGGGGGAGATGGAGGATGCGGGATGGGGGGGGCGGCGGATGGGGGATGTCGGGCGGGGGATGTGGGATGTGTGGATGAGGGATGTGTGGGGCGGAGGATGCGGGATGTGGGGCGGGGGATGGGGATGTGGGGCGGAGGATGGGGATGTGGGGCGGGGGATGCTGGGGGGTGCGGATGGGGGGTGCGGGGGATGCGGATGCGGATGGGGCGGGGGGGGCTCTGGCCTGCGCGGCTCCGGGTGCGGCGCTGTGGGGCGCGGTGGGGCGCGGCGGTCGCTGGCGGTGGGGCGCGGTGGGGCGCGGGGGCCGTGGGGCGGCGGCGGCGGCGGCGGCGGCTGCTGCAGCGGGAGGGGCGGGGGAGGGGGGAGGGGCGGGGGGAGGGGCCCGCGGGGGTGGGGCCACGGCCGGACCCACGAGGGGGAAGCCGCGGCTGCCCCATAGACACGCATAGGGACCCATGGCTGCCCCATAGACACGCATAGGGACCCACGGCTGCCCCATAGAGACCCACAGGGAGCCATAGGGACCTGTGGCTGCACTATAGACACGCATAGGGACCCATGGCTGCCCCATAGAGACCCACAGAGAGCCACAGGGAGCCATAGGGACCCACGGCTGCACTATAGACACACCTAGGGACCCACGGCTACCCCATAGACACGCATAGGGACCCAGGGCTGCCCCATAGAGACCCAAAGGGACCCATGGCTGCCCCATAGACACAGCTAGGGACCCGTGGCTGCCCCATAGAGACCCACAGGGAGCCATAGGGACTCACATCTGCCCTATAGACACACATAGGGACCCACGGCTGCCCCATAGAGACCTGAAGGGACCCATAGACACTCATAGGTACACACGGCATCACCAGAGAGACCCACAGGGAGCCATAGGGACCCACGGCTGCCCCACAGACACTCATAGGTACCCACAGCATCCCCTTAGAGACCCACAGGAAGCCATCGGAACCCACAGCTGCCCTATAGACACACATAGGGACCCACGGCTGCCCCATAGAGACCCACGGCTGCCCCATAGACACTCATAGGTACCCACGGCATCGCCATAGAGACCCACAGGGAGCCATAGGGACCCATGGCTGCCCCATAGACACTCATAGGTACCCACAGCATCCCCCTAGAGACCCACAGGAAGCCATCGGGACCCACAGCTGCCCTATAGACACACATAGGGACCCACGGCTGCCCCATAGACACTCATAGGTACCCACGGCATCACCATAGAGACCCACAGGGAGCCATAGGGACCCACGGCTGCCCCATAGGAGCCCATGGGGAACCACAGAAGACCCATAGAAGACCCACGGAGACCCATAGAGTCCCATGGCTGCTCCATAGGGACCCACAGTCACCCACAGGTGAACCCATAGGGTTCGACAGGGACCCATAGACAACAACGGCAGCCCCATAGAGATGGACAGAGACCCATAGACACCCATAGAGACCCATGGCTGCCCCACAGAGACCCGCAGCATCCCCATAGAGACCTACAGGGACCCACAGAGACGCCTAGGGACTCACAGACACCCATAGAGACCCACGGCTGCCCCATAGAGACCTACAGCAGCCCCACAGAGACCCATAGCACCCCCATAGAGAAATACAGGGACCCATAGAGACCCACAGGGACTCACAGACACCCACAGAGACCCATAGGCACTCACAGCAGCCCCATAGACACCCATAGAGTCCCATAGGCACTCATAGACACGGCAGCCCCATAGGGACTCATAGACACCCATAGAGACCCATAGACACCCATAGAGACCCATAGACACCCATAGACACCCATAGAGACCCACAGACACCCATAGACACCCATAGAGACCCATAGCCCCCATAGACACCCATGGACACCCATTGCCACCCATAGACACCCATAAGACACCCATAGCCCCATAGCCCCCATAGCCCCCATAGCCCCCATAGACACCCATAGACACCCACAGCCCCCCATAGACACCCATAGACACCCACAGACACCCATAGACACCATAGACACCCATAGACACGCATAGCCCCATAGCCCCCATAGCCCCCATAGACACCCATAGACACCCATAGACACACATAGCCCCCGTAGACACCCATAGACACCCATAGACCCCATAGACACCCATAGACACCATAGACACCCATAGACACCATAGACACCATAGACACCATAGACACCATAGACACCCATAGCCCCCATAGCCACCCATAGACACCCATAGACACCCACAGACACCCATAGACACCCACAGCCCCCCATAGACACCCATAGACACCACAGACACCCATAGACACCATAGACACCCATAGACACCCATAGCCCCATAGCCCACCATGCCCCCATAGACACCCATAGACACCCATAGACACACATAGCCCCCGTAACACCCATAGACACCCATAGACACCATAGACACCCATAGACACCATAGACACCCATAGACACCCATAGACACCATAGACACCCATAGACACCCATAGACACCCATAGACACCCATAGCCCCATAGCCCCCATAGCCACCCATAGCCACTCATAGACACCCATAGACCCCCATAGACACCCATAGACCCCATAGACACCCATAGACACCCATAGACCCCATAGACACCCATAGACACCCATAGACACCCATAGACACCCAGAGACCCATAAACACCATAGAGAGACCTGACACCCATAGACACCATAGACACCCATAGACACCCATAGACACCCATAGACACCCATAGACACCATAGACACCCATAGACACCCATAGACCCCATAGACCCCCATAGACACCCATAGACACCCATAGACACCCATAGACACCCATAGCCCCATAGCACCCATAGACACCCATAGACACCCATAGACACCCATAGACACCCATAGACCCCATAGACACCCATAGACACCATAGACACCCATAGACACCATAGACACCCATAGACACCATAGACACCCATAGACACCCATAGACACCCATAGACACCATAGACACCCATAGACACCATAGACACCCATAGACACCATAGACACCCATAGACACCATAGACACCCATAGACACCCATAGACACCATAGACACCCATAGACACCATAGACACCATAGACACCCATAGACACCCATAGACACCCATAGACACCATAGACACCATAGACACCCATAGAGCCCACAGACACCATAGACACCATAGACACCATAGACACCATAGACACCCATAGACACCCATAGACACCCATAGACACCCATAGACACCATAGACACCCATAGACACCATAGACACCCATAGACAGACACCCATAGACACCATAGACACCATAGACACCCATAGACACCCATAGACACCCATAGACACCATAGACACCCATAGACACCCATAGACACCCATAGACACCATAGACACCCATAGACAAACATAGACACCCATAGACACCATAGACACCCATAGACACCCATAGACACCCATAGACACCCATAGACACCATAGACACCCATAGACACCCATAGACACCCATAGACACCATAGACACCCATAGACAAACATAGACACCCGTAGACACCTGTAGACACCCGTAGACACCCGTAGACACCCATAGACACCATAGACACCCATAGACACCCATAGACGTCCATAGACACCCATAGACACCCATAGACACCCATAGACACCCATAGACACCCATAGACACCATAGACACCCATAGACACCCATAGACACCATAGACACCCATAGACACCCATGACACCATAGACACCCATAGACACCATAGACACCCATAGACACCCATAGACACCATAGACACCATAGACACCATAGACACCATAGACACCATAGACACCATAGACACCCATAGACACCATAGACACCCATAGACACCATAGACACCATAGACACCATAGACACCCATAGACACCCATAGACACCATAGACACCCATAGACACCATAGACACCCATAGACACCATAGACACCATAGACACCATAGACACCATAGACACCATAGACACCCATAGACACCCATAGACACCCATAGACACCATAGACACCATAGACACCCATAGACACCCATAGCCCCATACCCCCCATACCCCCCATAGCCCCATAGCCCCATACCCCCATAGCCCCATGTGCTCACGCTCGGTGCAGGAGGCTCCCCCATGCGCGGTCATGGAGCAGTCGCAGCTGAAGCCCTCCCATTGCTGCAGGCAGACGCCCTGGTGCGAGCACGACTCCTCCGTGCACGTGGTGCTGGGGCCTGCGCCACCGCCGGGTCACCCCGGGCACACCAGTGCAAACCAGTGCAGCCCAGTGCAGCCCAATGCATCCCAGTGTGTCCCAGTGCGGCCCAGTGTGTCCCAGTGCAGCCCAATGCATCCCAGTGAATCCCAGTGTGACCCAAGGCACCCCAGGGCATTCCAGTGCGTCCCAATGCATCCCAGCGTGTCCCAGGGCATCCCAGTGAGTCCCAGTGTGTCCCAGTGCATCCCAGTGCGTCCCAGTGGGTCCCAGTGCACACCAGTGCGTCCCAATGCATCCCAGCGTGTCCCAGGGCATCCCAGTGAGTCCCAGTGTGTCCCAGTGCGGCCCAGTGTGACCCAGTGCGTCCCAGTGTGTCCCAGTGCGTCCCAGTGCATCCCAGTGTGACCCAGTGCATCCCAGTGCACCCCAATGCATCCCAGTGTGTCCCAGTGCACACCAGTGCATCCCAGGGCATCCCAGTGTGTCCCAGTGAGTCCCAGTGCGTCCCAGTGCGTCCCAGAGTGACCCAGTGTGTCCCAGTGCATCCCAGTGCTTTCCAGGGCATCCCAGTGCACCCCAGTGCGTCCCCTGTGCACCCCAATGCATCCCAGTTCACCCCAATGCATCCCCTGTGCACCCCAATGCATCCCCATCAGCCCTCGTGCATCCCTGTGTGCCCCTGTGCACCCAATGCACCCCCTTGCATCCCAATGCACCCCATCATCCTTCATGCATCCCTGTGCACCCAATGCACCCCAATGCACCCCATCATCCTTCATGCATCCCTGTGCACCCCAATGCATCCCCCTGCACCCCATCATCCTTCATGCATCCCTGTGCACCTCTGTGCACCCAGTGCATCCCCATCGGCCCTTGTGCATCCCCACGCACCCCTGTGCACATGCAGGCACCCCCAGCACCCCCAGTGTCCCCATCCCCCTGCTGTCCCCCCATTCCCCTGCTCCCCCCTGTCCCGGTGCCCCCCCCATATCCCCCCATCCCCACTGGCTCCCTGGTGTCTCCATCCCCCCGGGGCACCCCTGTTCCCCAGTGTCCCCCCCATTCCTTCCTGTCCCCATCCCTCTGCTCTCACCCTATTCCCCTCTCCCCCCCTGCCCCAATGCCCCCCCCATCCCTCCATCCCCTGTATCCCCGTTGCCTTCATCCCTTCAGTGCCCCCCCCATCCCTTGGTCCCCCCCGTCCCGGTGCCGCCCCCCACCCCTCCATCCCCTCTATCCCCGTTATCCCCATCCCTTGCCCCCCCCCGTGTCCCCGCTCTCCCCCTGTCCCAGTGCCCCCCCCATCTCTCCATCCCCTCTATCCCCGTTATCCCCACCCCCTCAGTGCCCCCCCCGATCCCCTCCGCTCTCCCCCTGTCCCAGTGCCCCCCCATCCCCTCAGTGCCCCCCCATCCCTTGCCCCCCCCGATCCCCTCCGCTCTCCCCTGTCCCAATGCCCCCCCCATCCCTCCATCTCCTGTATCCCCGTTGTCTCCACCCCCTCAGTGCCCCCCCGTGTCCCCGCTCTCCCCTGTCCCAGTGGCCCCCCATCCCCTCAGTGCCCCCCCATCCCTCGCCCCCCCATCCCCTCCGCTCTCCCTGTCCCAGTGCCCCCCCATCCCCTCAGTGCCCCATCCCCTCTGCTCTCCCTGTCCCAGTGCCCCCCAACCCCTCAGTGCCCCCCCGATCCCCTCCGCTCTCCCCTGTCCCAGTGCCCCCCCATCCCTTCAGTCTTGTCCCTATGCCCCCCTCTCCAGTGCCCCCCCATCCCTCGCCCCCCCCATCCCCTCCGCTCTCCCTGTCCCAGTGCCCCCCCATCCCTCCATCCCCTGTATCCCCGCTGTCTCCATCCCTTGGTCCCCCATCCCTTGGTGCCCCCATCCCCTCTGTGCCCCTTGGTCCCCCCTGTCCCCCCCCATCCCAGTGCCCCCCCATCCCTCCATCCCCTCTATCCCTGTTATCCCCATCCCTTGCCCCCCCTGTATCCCTCTTTGCATCCATCCCTTGGTCCCCCCCACCCCCTCAGTGCCCCCCCCCGTGTCCCCGCTCTCCCCTGTCCCGGTGCCCCCCCATCCCTTGCCCCCCCCGATCCCCTCTGCTCTCCCCTGTCCCAGTGCCCCCCCATCCCCTCCATCCCCTGTATCCCCATCCCATCCCCACAGTGCCCCCCCACCCTCGCCCCCCGATCCCCTCCGCTCTCCCCTGTCCCAGTGCCCCCCCCATCCCTCCATCCCCTGTATCCCCGTTATCCCCATCCCCACAGTGCCCCCCCATCCCTCGCCCCCCCGATCCCCTCCGCTCTCCCCTGTCCCAGTGCCCCCCCGATCCCCTCCGCTCTCCCCTGTCCCAGTGCCCCCCCACCCCCTCAGTGCCCCCCCGATCCCCTCCGCTCTCCCCTGTCCCAGTGCCCCCCACCCCCTCAGTGCCCCCCCATCCCCCTCAGTGCCCCCCCCATCCCCTCTGCTCTCCCCTGTCCCAGTGCCCCCCCACCCCCTCAGTGCCCCCCCATCCCCTCAGTGCCCCCCCCGATCCCCTCCGCTCTCCCCTGTCCCAGTGCCCCCCCACCCCCTCAGTGCCCCCCCATCCCCTCAGTGCCCCCCCCATCCCCTCCGCTCTCCCCTGTCCCAGTGCCCCCCACCCCCTCAGTGCCCCCCCATCCCCTCAGTGCCCCCCATCCCCTCTGCTCTCCCCTGTCCCAGTGCCCCCCCACCCCCTCAGTGCCCCCCCATCCCCTCAGTGCCCCCCCCATCCCCTCCGCTCTCCCCCTGTCCCCAGTGCCCCCCCATCCCCTCAGTGCCCCCCCATCCCTCGCCCCCCACATCCCCCCGCTCTCCCCTGTCCCAGTGCCCCCCGATCCCCCCCGCTCTCCCCTCACCGTCGCAGCCGCGCTGGACGTGCCCCACTCTCTGCAGGGCGTCCCCGAGCAGGTCGGGCAGGCGCCCGTTGAGGTCCAGGGAGCCCAAGCAGCCCTGGAAGCCCCCCCGCGACGCCACCAGCTTGGGCAGGCGGCCCAGGAGCGCCCGGCTCGCGCCCCCGACGTAGAGCTCCCCTGGGGGGACACACGGGTACCCCTCATGCACCCATGGGTACCCCTCATGCATCCATGGGTACCCCTCATCCACCCATGGGTACCCCTCATGCATCCATGGGTACCCCTCATCCACCCATGGGTACCCCTCATCCATCCCATGGGTACCCCTCATCCATCCCATGGGTACCATCACTCACCCACGGGTACCCCTCATCCATCGCATAGGTGCCATCACTCACCCCATGGATCCCCCCCATGCACAACTCCCTGTGGGGGTCACCCATGGGTCCTCCCCTGCATGCACCCCTATATATAGGAATCACTCATGGGCACCCCTCGCCCACCCCACAGCTCCCATCACATCCCCATCATGCATCCACTCCAACGGGCATCACCAGTGAGCCTGCCCCAGTCACCCTATGGATGCCCCCATGCACCCAGCTCTATAGGGGTCACCCATGGGTGACCCCCCCTCACCCCTCATTCAGCCCAATGGGAGGTTGGGCTCACTCATGGGTGTCCCCCCACTCACCCCCCATTCACCCCAATGGGGGGTTGGGTTCACCCATGGGTGCCCCTCCCCACCCTCCATTCACCCCAATGGGGGGTTGGGTTCACCCATGGGTGCCCCTCCCTCACCCCCCCATTCACCCCAATGGGGGGTTGTGCTCACCCATAGGGGCCCCCCCCTCACCCCCATTCACCCCAATGGGGGGTTGAGTTCACCCATGGGTGCCCCTCCCTCACCCCCCCCATTCACCCCAATGGGGGGTTGGGCTCACCCACACGTGCCCCCCCTCACCCCCCATTCACCCCAATGGGGGGTTGGGTTCCCCCATGGGTGCCCCCCCCCTCACCCCCCCCATTCACCCCAATGGGGCGGGGGGAGGAGCTTTTTCTCACCCTTGAGGTCGAGGCTCCGCCCCGCCTGCCCGTGCTGGGTCACGTGGCGCCCGTCCACGCGCAGCGCGTGCACGGCGCCGCCGTCGCGCGCCACCGCCACCTCGTGCCAGCGGCCGTCGTGCAGCGCCTGCTCCGAGTTCCCCTTCATGAGGGAGGGGCCGTCCCCCAGGTCGAACACGTAATGGATGTACCTGGGGGGAGGGGAGAGGGGGCGGAGCCTGAGGAACGGGGCGGGGCCTGAGGCGAGGGGGTGGGGCTTGAGACAAGGGGACACACACACCCCATCCCCCCCCCCAGATTGAATGGACTCTGCGTGTGAAAGGGAAGGAGCCTGAGCCAATGGGAGACACCCCCACAGTGCATGGATATGGGAGGGGCGTGGCCACAGTCGGAGGCGTGGCCTGAGAGGGGCCGTCCCCCAGGTCGAACACGTAATGGATGTACCTGGGGGGAGGGGAGAGGGGGCGGAGCCTGAGGAAAGAGGCGGGGCCTGAGGCGAGGGGGTGGGGCTTGAGACAAGGGGACACACACAACCCCACCCCTCGATTGGATGGACGCTGCGTGCGAAAGGGAAGGAGCCTGAGCCAATGAGAGACCCCCCTCAGTGCATGGATATGGGGGGCGTGGCCTAACATAAGTGGGAGGGGCTTGAGACAAGGGGACACCCCCCCCCCCTCCCGGATTGGATGGATGCTGCGCGTGAGATGGGAGGAGTCTGAGCTAATGGGAGACCAACCCAGTGCATGGATATGGGGGGGCGTGGCTATAGTCGGAGGCGTGGCCTGAGACAAGTGGGAGGGTCTTGAGGCAAGGGGGTGGGGCTTGAGACAAGGGGACCCAGGGGGTCCCCAAGGTCCCAGGAAACTGAGAAGGTCCCCAAAGTCCTCAGGAGCTCCCTGGTGTCCCATGGGGGTCCCCAACGGTCTAGGACATTGAGAAGGTCTCCATAAGGGTTAACATCCACATCCCATAGAAATGAGCATCCACATCCCATGGACCTGAGCACCCACATCCCATGGACCTGAGCATCCACATCCCATGGACCTGAGCACCCACATCCCATGGACCTGAGCATCCACACCCCATGGACCTGAGCATCCACATCCCATGGACCTGAGCATCCACATCCCATGGACCTGAGCATCCACATCCCATGGACCTGAGCATCCACATCCCATGGACCTGAGCATCCACATCCCATGGACCTGAGCATCCACATCCCATGGACCTGAGCATCCACATCCCATGGACCTGAGCATCCACATCCCATGGACCTGAGCATCCACATCCCATGGACCTGAGCATCCACATCCCATGGACCTGAGCACCCACACCCCATGGACCTGAGCATCCACATCCCATGGACCTGAGCACCCACATCCCATGGACCTGAGCATCCACATCCCATGGACCTGAGCACCCACATCCCATGGACCTGAGCATCCACATCCCATGGACCTGAGCATCCACATCCCATGGACCTGAGCATCCACATCCCATGGACCTGAGCACCCACATCCCATGACCTCAGCATCCACATCCCATGGACCTGAGCATCCACATCCCATGGACCTGAGCACCCACATCCCATGGACCTGAGCATCCACATCCCATGGACCTGAGCATCCACATCCCATGGACCTGAGCACCCACATCCCATGGACCTGAGCATCCACATCCCATGGACCTGAGCATCCACATCCCATGGACCTGAGCATCCACATCCCATGGACCTGAGCATCCACATCCCATGGACCTGAGCATCCTTAACCCATGGACCTGAGCATCCACATCCCATGGACCTGAGCATCCACATCCCATGGACCTGAGCATCCACATCCCATGGACCTGAGCATCCACATCCCATGGACCTAGCATCCACATCCCATGGACCTGAGCATCCACATCCCATGGACCTGAGCATCCACATCCCATGGACCTGAGCACCCACATCCCATGGACCTGAGCATCCACATCCCATGGACCAACACCCACACCCATGGACCTGAGCACCCACATCCCATGGACCTGAGCATCCACATCCCATGGACCTGACATCCACATCCATGGACCTGAGCACCACACCCAACCACACCACACCATCCACATCCCATGGACCTGAGCACCACACCCATGGACCTGAGCATCCACATCCATGGACCTGAGCACCACATCCCATGGACCTGAGCATCCCACACCCATGGACCTGAGCACCCACATCCCATGGACCTGAGCATCCACATCCCATGGACCTGAGCATCCACATCCCATGGACCTGAGCACCCACATCCCATGGACCTGAGCATCCACATCCCATGGACCTGAGCATCCACATCCCATGACCTGAGCATCCACATCCCATGGACCTGAGCACCCACATCCCATGGACCTGAGCATCCACATCCCATGGACCTGAGCATCCACATCCCATGGACCTGAGCATCCACATCCCATGGACCTGAGCACCCACATCCCATGGACCTGAGCATCCACATCCCATGGACCTGAGCATCCACATCCCATGGACCTGAGCACCCACACCCCATGGACCTGAGCATCCACATCCCATGGACCTGAGCACCCACATCCCATGGACCTGAGCATCCACATCCCATGGACCTGAGCACCCACATCCCATGGACCTGAGCATCCACATCCATGGACCTGAGCACCCACATCCCATGGACCTGAGCATCCACATCCCATGGACCTGAGCACCCACATCCCATGGACCTGAGCATCCACATCCCATGGACCTGAGCATCCACATCCCATTGACCTCAGCATCCACATCCCATGGACCTGAGCCCACATCCCATGGACCTGAGCATCCACATCCCATGGACCTGAGCATCCACATCCCATGGACCTGAGCATCCACATCCCATGGACCTGAGCACCCACATCCCATGGACCTGAGCATCCACATCCCATGGACCTGAGCATCCACACCCCATGGACCTGAGCATCCACATCCCATGGACCTGAGCATCCACATCCCATTGACCTCAGCATCCACATCCCATGGACCTGAGCACCCACATCCCATGGACCTGAGCATCCACATCCCATTGACCTCAGCATCCACATCCCATGGACCTGAGCATCCACATCCCATGGACCTGAGCACCCACATCCCATTGACCTCAGCATCCACATCCCATGGACCTGAGCATCCACATCCCATTGACCTCAGCATCCACATCCCATGGACCTGAGCATCCACATCCCATGGACCTCAGCATCTGCACCCCCCCGTCCGGCCCTACTGGGCTTCAGGATGTCCCCGCTGCACCCCTCCGCCCCCTCCTCACCCCTTCACCAGCTCCACCACCAGGAAGTCGTTCCCGTTGCCGCCGTTGAAGAGGATGAGGCCGTCGGGCGCCGTGGTCTTGAACTGGAAGAAGAGGTGCATGGAGGAGTAGGCCTGGAGCGTGGGCAGCGCCACGTAGGAGCCGCGGCCCCGGAAGGCCACCGGGTCGGCCACGATGCTGCGGTGGCCGAAGCGGGCGTTGAGCTCGCAGGAGCTGATGTCCCCGTTCTTGCAGAGGTCCAGGTAGGGCTGCCCGTTGAAGAGGAGCCCGCTCAGGTGGCCCAGGAAGTTGGAGGGCACCGCGGCCAGGAAGCGCCGCTCCGTCACCATCCCCGTCTCGATGTTGTGGTACTCGAGGCGCACGTGGGAGCCCGACATCTGCCCTGCGGGGGGACAGCGGGGACGGGTGGGTGCCCCCCGGTACCGCCTCCCAGCGAGACACGGCCCCAAGGAGGTGAGCACCCATGAACCAGACCTGAGCATCCTGAACCCATGGACCTGAGCACCCACATCCCATGGACCTGAGCATCCACATCCCATGGACCTGAGCATCCATGAACCAGACCTGAGCATCCACATCCCATGGACCTGAGCACCCACATCCCATGGACCTGAGCATCCACATCCCATGGACCTGAGCATCCACATCCCATGCACCTGAGCATCCACATCCCATGGACCTGAACATCCACATCCCATGGAGCTGAGCATCCTTAACCCATGGACCTGAGCATCCTTAACCCATGGACCTGAGCATCCACATCCCATGGACCTGAACATCCACATCCCATGGACCTGAGCATCCACATCCCATGGACCTGAGCATCCACATCCCATGGACCCGAGCATCCACATCCCATGGACCTGAGCATCCACATCCCATGGACCTGAGCATCCTTAACCCATGGACCTGAGCATCCACATCCCATGGACCTGAGCATCCACATCCCATGGACCTGAGCATCCACATCCCATGGACCTGAGCATCCACATCCCATGGACCTGACCCACATCCCATGGACCTGAGTCCACATCCCATGGACCTGAGCATCCACATCCCATGGACCTGAGCATCCACATCCCATGGACCTGAGCACCCACATCCCATGGACCTGAGCATCCACATCCCATGGACCTGAGCACCCACATCCCATGGACCTGAGCACCCACATCCCATGGACCTGAGCATCCACATCCCATGGACCTGAGCATCCACATCCCATGGACCTGAGCATCCACATCCCATGGACCTGAGCATCCACATCCCATGGACCTGAGCATCCACATCCCATGGACCTGAGCACCCACATCCCATGGACCTGAGCATCCACATCCCATGGACCTGAGCATCCACATCCCATGGACCTGAGCATCCACATCCCATGGACCTGAGCATCCACATCCCATGGACCTGAGCATCCACATCCCATGGACCTGAGCATCCACATCCCATGGACCTGAGCATCCACATCCCATGGACCTGAGCATCCACATCCCATGGACCTGAGCATCCACATCCCATGGACCTGAGCATCCACATCCCATGGACCTGAGCATCCACATCCCATGGACCTGAGCATCCACATCCCATGGACCTGAGCATCCACATCCCATGGACCTGAGCATCCACATCCCATGGACCTGAGCATCCTTAACCCATGGACCTGAGCACCCACATCCCATGGACCTGAGCATCCACATCCCATGGACCTGAGCACCCACATCCCATGGACCTGAGCACCCACATCCCATGGACCTGAGCACCCACATCCCATGGACCTGAGCACCCACATCCCATGGACCTGAGCACCCACATCCCATGGACCTGAGCACCCACATCCCATGGACCTGAGCATCCACATCCCATGGACCTGAGCATCACATCCATACCCACATCCCATGGACCTGAGCACCCACATCCCATGGACCTGAGCATCCCACATCCCATGGACCTGAGCATCCACATCCCATGGACCTGAGCATCCACATCCCATGGACCTGACATCCTAACCCATGGACCTGAGCACCCACATCCCATGGACCTGAGCATCCACATCCCATGGACCTGAGCATCCACATCCCATGGACCTGAGCATCCACATCCCATGGACCTGAGCATCCACATCCCATGGACCTGAGCATCCACAACCCATGGACCTGAGCATCCTTAACCCATGGACCTGAGCATCCACATCCCATGGACCTGAGCATCCACATCCCATGGACCTGAGCATCCACATCCCATGGACCTGAGCACCCACATCCCATGGACCTGAGCATCCTCATCCCATGGACCTGAGCATCCACATCCCATGGACCTGAGCATCCACATCCCATGGACCTGAGCATCCACACCCCATGGACCTGAGCATCCTTAACCCATGGACCTGAGCATCCTTAACCCATGGACCTGAGCATCCACATCCCATGGACCTGAGCATCCACATCCCATGGACCTGAGCATCCACACCCCATGGACCTGAGCATCCACAACCCATGGACCTGAGCATCCACATCCCATGGACCTGAGCATCCACATCCCATGGACCTGAGCATCCACATCCCATGGACCTGAGCATCCACATCCCATGGACCTGAGCATCCGCATCCCATGGACCTGAGCACCCACATCCCATGGACCTGAGCATCCACACCCCATGGACCTGAGCATCCTGAACCCATGGACCTCAGCACCCACACCCCATGGACCTCAGTACCCACACCCCATGGACCTGAGCACCCACACCCCATGCCCAAGCACCCCCTCCCCCTGTGCTGTGTCCCCATCCCCGGGTCCCGGTGTCCCCGCACCTTCCACGGTGACGTTGTCCACGGAGAGCTGGAGGCTGCGCCCGCGCCGCAGCACCCGCACCGAGTGCCACTCGTTGTCATCCAGCTTCTGCCCCGCATAGAGCGTCTCGGGGCCCTTGCCTGGGGACATGGGGACAGCGTGAGAGGGACACGGGACACGTGACATGGGACAGTGGGATATAGGGCAAGGGGATATGGGACAGAGGAGCGTGGGCTATGGGATGCTGGGATATAGGACACCAGGACATGGGGTCACTGGAACACTGGGACAGTGGGATATGGGACAGAGGGCACCAGGGCAATGGGACATCGAGACACTGGGAATGGCTGGGTGACACTGGGTGACACTGGGCACTGATGGGTGACACTGGGTGACACTGGGCACTGATGGGTGACACTGGGCACGGATGGGTGACACTGGGCACTGATGGGTGACACTGGGTGACACTGGGCACTGATGGGTGACACTGGGCACGGATGGGTGACACTGGGCACTGATGGGTGGCACTGGGCACTGATGGGTGACACTGGGTGACACTGGGCACTGATGGGTGACACTGGGTGACACTGGGCAGTGATGGGTGACACTGGGAGACACTGGGCACTGATGGGTGACACTGGGTGACACTGGGCAGTGATGGGTGACACTGGGCAGTGATGGGTGACACTGGGTGACACTGGGCAGTGATGGGTGTCACTGGGCACTGATGGGTGACACTGGGCAGTGATGGGTGACACCACGCGCACAACTCCAAGCCCTCCATGCAAACCCCATGCACCCCCCGCTAAAGAAACAGCGTGCAGAGGCGCGTGCTCCCCTTCATGCCATGTACACACACACATGCACACACTCGTACAAACACACATGTGCACACACTTGTACAAACACACGTGCACACACACGTACACACACATGTGCACACATGTACACACATGTACAAGCACACATGTACACACATGCGTACACGTGCACACACATGTGTACACACATATGTACACACGTGCACACACACATGTACACACATGTGCACACACATATGTACACACACGTACACACACTTGCACACACATGTACACACATACACATATGTGCACACATGTGCGCACACATGCACACACATGTACACACATACATACATGTGCACACACATATGTACACACACATGCACACACATATGTACACACACAGGTACACACACATGTACACACACGTACACACACTTGCACACGCATGTACAGACATGTGCACACACACGTGCACACATACACACACGTGCACACACATGTGCACTCACATATGTACACAAAGGTACACACATTTGCACACACATGTACACACATACGCATATGTGCACACATGTACACACACATGTGCGCACACGTGCACACACATGTACACACATACATGTGCACACACATATGTACACACATATGTACACACACAGGTACACACACATGCGCACATGTGCGCACACACATGTACACACACAGACACACACACGTGCACACTCACATACAGACGCATGCACCGGCCGGAGGACACGGGGTAGGGTGTGAGCCCACGCATGTCCACACGTGACACGTGCACGTGTGTGCGTGCCCCCAGGCTGCGTGTGCACGCGTGTGTGCGGGCACGGCTGCAGTGTGTGGTGGTGCACAGCTACAGCACATGGCCGCGCACACGCGTGTGCACCCGGGTGTGTTCATGTGTGTGCACACGCAGCCCATGCACGGCTGTCACGTGTCACGCGTGTGCACCCGGGTGTGTTCATGTGTGTGCACACGCAGCCCATGCACGGCTGCAACACACGCGTGTGCACCCGGGTGTGTTCATGTGTGTGCACACGCAGCCCGTGCACGGCTGTCACGGGTCACGCGTGTGCACCCGGGTGTGTTCATGTGTGTGCACACGCAGCCCATGCACGGCTGTCACGGGTCACGTGTGTGCACCCGGGTGTGTTCATGTGTGTGCACATGCAGCCTGTGCACGGCTGCAGCACACGCGTGTGCACCCGGGTGTGTTCATGTGTGTGCACACGCAGCCCCTGCATGGCTGTCACGTGTCACATGTGTGCACCTGGGTGTGTTCATGTGTGTGCACACGCAGCCCCTGCATGGCTGTCACGTGTCACGTGTGTGCACCCGGGTGTGTTCATGTGTGTGCACACGCAGCCCACGTGTCACGTGTGTGCACACGTGGGTCCCGGGGCGGGGGAATTGCGGTTGGGGCTTGCCTGGGTCCCCCTTGCACTATGGGGGGGGGTGGGGGGCAGGTCCTGGTGCATGAGGACCCCCTTGTTCCAGTTATGGGGGGGTCACCCCTATAGGAACCCAGTTATGGGGGGTGGTCACTCCTATAGAGACCCAGTTATGGGAGGGTCAACCCTATAGGGACCCAGTTAGGGGGGGGTCACCCCTATAGGGACCCAGTTATTGGGGGGTCACCCCTATAGGGACCCAGTTATGGGGGGGTCACCCCTATAGGGGCCCTGTTTTGGGGATATCACCCCTATAGGGACCCAGTTATGGGGGGGTCACCCCTATAGGGGCCAGGGGGAGCCAGGCGTTGGGGGTCCCGCACTTACTGGGGTTGCAGCCCACGCGCACGCAGTCTGGGGAGAGAAGAGCAGCGGGATCAGGGCTTGGGAGCCACCGGAGCCACCGGAGCCACCGGCCCGGGGACGAGCAGCCGGGACCCAGTGCCAGCGGGAATGGGGGGGGGAATGGGGGGGGAATGGGGGGGGAATGGTATGGGGGTGGGACTGGGGTGGTACTGGGATGGGACGGGATTGGGATTGGGCTGGGGCTGTACTGGGATGGGATGGGATGGAAAAGGATGGGATGGGGATGGGATGGGGATGGGATGGGATGGAAAGGGATGAGATGGACGGGTGGGATGGGATGGGGATGGGATGGATGCGTGGGATGGGATGGAATGGGATGGAATGGGGATGGGATGGGATAGGATGGACAGGTGAGATGGGATGTGATGGGGTGGGATGGAATGGGGCTGGGGATGGAATGGAATGGGATGCTTGGGTGGGAGGGGATGGACAGGTGGGATGGGATGGATTGGAGGGATGGGATGGGGATGGGATGGATGGATGGGATGGAAAGGGATGGGATAGGATGGACAAGTGGGATGGGATGGGGATGGGGATGGGGATGGGATGGAAAGGGATGGGATAAGATGGACAAGTGGGATGGGATTGTGGTAGGATGGACAGGTTGGATGGGATGGGGATGGGATGGAATGGGATGGATGGGAACAGCACTGGGCTGTGCTGGGGGTGTCAGGGTACTGGTGGCACCTCAGAGGGGTCCCGGCCTTGGCAGGGCCCAGCCCTTCGGATCCAGGGGAATCCCAATGGGATCCAGGACTGGGCCCCCCCTCGTCAACCACAGGAGGCGGCGGGGGGCAAACACGCGCTGGGACCGGGGGGTGGGACCCCAAAACCTTTGGGATCCCCAAAACCACGGTGGGGTCCCCAATGAAGGGGGCATCCCCAACCCCATGGGGGGATGGGGGGGGTGGTCCCAGCGCCGAGCCCCAAGTGGCAACGGGGGGGGGGGTCCCGAAGCACCCAAACCCAGGGTAGGAGGGGGGGGGGGAACAGAGGACCCCCCCGGGGCGCTGCATTGGGGGTGCCGGGCGCGGGGCTCACCCAGGTTCACGGTGAGCTTCATGCGGGCCCCATCCAGCTCCAGGCGCAGGGAATCGGCCGAGTGCCCGGATGTGGTGGCCAGGACCAGGCCGTAGGCACGGGGGGACCGGAAGCGCAGGGCCACGTCCTCGGCCTCGCTCTGCGCCGTGCCCGGCACCAGCACCTTCAGGTACGCGCTGCCGTCGTAGCTGAGCACCGCCGCCTCTGGGGGGCGCAAGGGGACCATCAGCGGGCATCCGGACGGGGGCACCCATGGGGGGGATGGGGACACCATCACCGGGCATCCGGACGGGGGCACCCATGGGGGGGATGGGGACACCATCACGGGGCATCCGGACGGGGGCACCCATGGGGGGGATGGGGACGGCGCAATGGGGACACCATCACCGGGGCATCCGGACGGGGGCACCCATGGGGGGGATGGGGACGGCGCAATGGGGACACCATCACCGGGGCACCCATGGGGGGGGATGGGGACGGCGCAATGGGGACACCATCACCGGGGCACCCATGGGGGGGGATGGGGACGGCGCAATGGGGACACCATCACCGGGCATCCGGACGGGGGCACCCAGGGGGGGGATGGGGACACCATCACCGGGGCATCCGGACGGGGGCACCCATGGGGGGGATGGGGACGGCGCAATGGGGACACCATCACCGGGCATCCGGACGGGGGCACCCATGGGGGGGATGGGGACGGCGCAATGGGGACACCATCACCGGGGCATCCGGACGGGGGCACCCATGGGGGGGATGGGGACGGCGCAATGGGGACACCATCACCGGGGCATCCGGACGGGGGCACCCATGGGGGGGGATGGGGACGGCGCAATGGGGACACCATCACCGGGGCATCCGGACGGGGGCACCCATGGGGGGATGGGGACACCATCACCAGGGCATCCGGACGGGGGCACCAATGGGGGGGATGGGGACACCATCACCGGGGCATCCGGACGGCACCCACGGGGGGATGGGGACGGCGCAATGGGGACACCATCACCGGGCATCCGGACGGGGGCACCCATGGGGGGATGGGACACCATCACCGGGGCATCCGGACGGGGGCACCCATGGGGGGGGATGGGGACGGCGCAATGGGGACACCATCACCGGGGCATCCGGACGGGGGCACCCATGGGGGGGGATGGGGACACCATCACCGGGGCATCCGGACGGGGGCACCCATGGGGGGGGATGGGGACGGCGCAATGGGGACACCATCACCGGGGCATCCGGATGGGGGCACCCATGGGGGGGGATGGGGACGGCGCAATGGGGACCATCAGCGGGCATCCGGACGGGGGCACCCATGGGGGGGATGGGGATGGCGCAATGGGGACACCATCACCGGGGCATCCGGACAGGGGCACCCATGGGGGGGGATGGGGGCACCACACACAGGATGTGTTTGGGGTTGTGGGTCCCAGTGCAATGTGGGGTGAACCCATATGGGGGGTCCCCGATCTGGGATGTGGCCTCATACTGGTTGGTTGGGGGGGGCATGCAGGGAGTGCAGGTGCCCCCATGCTGGGGTATCCCCATGTCTAAGGGGGTGTCCCCATGCACAGAGGGGTATCTCCATGCAGATGTGTGCATTCCCATACAGGGGGGTTCCCCCAATGCACCGAGGGTGTCCCCATATGGAGGGGTGTCCCCATACAGGGGTGTCCCCATACAGGGGGGGTGTCCACACACAAGGGGGTATCCCTATACAGGGCTGGAGTGTTGCCATACAGGGGTGTCCCCGTACAGGGGTATCCCCATACAGGGGGGGTGTCCCCACAAGGGTGTGTCCCCATAGAGGGGGGTATCCCCATACAGGGGGGGTGTCCCCATGCAGGGTCTATCCCTATTCAGGGTCTATCCCTATTCAGGGTCTATCCCCATTCAGGGTCTATCCCTATGCAGGGTCTATCCCCATGCAGGGTCTATCCCCATGCAGGGTCTATCCCCATACAGGGTCTATCCCCATGCAGGGGTTACCCCATACAAGGTCTATCCCTATGCAGGGTCTATCCCCATGCAGGGTCTATCCCTATACAGGGTTACCCCATTCAGGGTCTATCCCCCCCCCAGTACCCGCCCCCCCCGCACGCACCGGTCTCGCAGCGCGCTCCCAGGTACCCGGTCCCGAGGCAGTCGCAGGTGAAGCGGTTCCAGCCCTCTCGGCAGAGTCCTCCGTGCCGGCAGGGGGCGCTGTCGCAGTGCCGCGCGGGCTGCCGCACGCACGAGGGCGCCACGCCGGGGTGCGGGCGCGCCGCCGCCAGCGCGGGCAGGTCCCGCGCGCGGCCGTGGATGGCGAGGTCGCGCACGCAGCCCACGAACCCCCCCCGCGGCGCGGCCCAGAGCGCGGGGGGCAGCGGGGAGCCCGGGGGGGCCCCCCCCAGGAAGAGCCCCGCGTCCAACCAGAGCTCCTCAGCATCGCCCCCCGCCAGGAACGGGGTCCGGCGGCTGTTGACGGAGACGGAGCCTGCGGGGACAGCGGGGAGCGGGGGAGAGAGAGAGAGGGGATGGGGGGTACAGGGATAGAGGGACATGGGATAGAGGGGATAGGGGATAGAGGGATATAGGATAAAGGGACATGGGATAGAGGGAATAGGGGATACAGGGATGGAGGGATGGGGGATAGGGGATAGAGAGAATAGGGAATATAGGGATAGAGGGACATGGGGATGGGAGATAGAGGGAATAGGGGATATAGGGACATGGGGATAGGGGATAGAGGGAAAAGGGGGTAGAGGGAATAGGGGATAGAGGGATGGGGGATAGGGGGAATAGGGGATATAGGGACATGGGGATGGGGAATAGGGGATATAGGGAATAGGGGATATAGGGATGGGGGATAGGGGATAGAGGGAATAGGAGACAGAGGGACATGGGGATGGGGCGTAGGGGATATGGGATATAGGGACATGGGGATAGGGCATATAGGGACATGGGAGATAGGGGGTATGGGGTATAGGGACATGGGGATGGGGATAGGGGATATAGGGATGGGGGATACGGGATATAGGATATTGGGACATGGGGGATAGGGGATATGTTATATAGGGAATATAGGGACATGGGGATGGGGGTATGGGATATAGGGACATGGGGATATAGAGACATGGGGATGGGAAATATGTTATATAGGGACATGGGGATGGGGGATAGGGGATATGGAGATACAGGATTGGGATGTGGAGATAGGGGATATGGTATGTGGGATATGGAGATAGGGGATATGGGGATATGGGATGTGCAATATGGGATATGGAGATAGGGGATATGGGGACATGGGATGTGCAATATGGGATATGGAGATAGGGGATATGGAGACATGGGATGCGCAATATGGGATATGGAGACGGGATATGGGGACATGGGATGTGCAATATGGGATATGGAGATAGGGGGTATGGGGACATGGGATGTGCAATATGGGATATGGAGACGGGATATGGGGACATGGGATGTGCAATATGGGATATGGAGATAGGGGATATGGGGACATGGGATGTGCAATATGGGATATGGAGACGGGATATGGGGACATGGGATGTGCAATATGGGATATGGAGACGGGATATGGGGACATGGGATGTGCAATATGGGATATGGAGATATGGGATGTGGGGATATGGGATATGGGGATATGGAATAGGGCATATGGGATATGGGGATATAGAATATGGGATATGGAGATATGGGATGTGGGGATATGGGATGTGCAATATGGGATATGGAGATAGGGGATATGGGGACATGGGATGTGCAATATGGGATATGGAGACGGGATATGGGGACATGGGATGTGCAATATGGGATATGGAGATAGGGGATATGGGGACATGGGATGTGCAATATGGGATATGGAGATAGGGGATATGGGGACATGGGATGTGCAATATGGGATATGGAGACGGGATATGGGGACATGGGATGTGCAATATGGGATATGGAGATAGGGGATATGGGGACATGGGATGTGCAATATGGGATATGGAGATAGGGGATATGGGGACATGGGATGTGCAATATGGGATATGGAGATAGGGGATATGGGGACATGGGATGTGCAATATGGGATATGGAGATAGGGGATATGGGGACATGGGATGTGCAATATGGGATATGGAGATAGGGGATATGGGGACATGGGATGTGCAATACGGGATATGGAGATAGGGGATATGGGGACATGGGATGTGCAATATGGGATACGGAGATAGGGGATATGGGGACATGGGATGCGCAATATGGGATATGGAGATAGGGGATATGGGGATATGGGATGTGCAATATGGGATATGGAGATAGGGGATATGGAGACATGGGATGTGCAATATGGGATACGGAGATAGGGGATATGGGGACATGGGATGTGCAATATGGGATATGGAGATAGGGGATATGGGGATATGGGATGTGCAATATGGGATACGGAGATAGGGGATATGGGGACATGGGATGTGCAATATGGGATATGGAGATAGGGGATATGGGGACATGGGATGTGCAATATGGGATATGGAGATAGGGGATATGGGGACATGGGATGTGCAATATGGGATATGGAGATAGGGGATATGGGGACACGGAGATAACGGGTGTGGAATATGGAGCTCGAGGGACACGGGACATGATGGGGATGCCGGATGTGGGCACGGGGCTATGGGGCACGGGGACACCCCCTCCCCTCCCCCCCCGTTTCCCCTCACCTCTGCGCCCGTCCCGCTGCACGTCCACGTGGCACCACTCCCCATCGGTGACCTTGCGGGCGCTGGCGCGGAGCCGCGTGTCCCCGGCGCCCATGGCCAGCAGCAGGTAGAGGTGCCCGTCCAGCAGCTCCAGCGCCAGGAAGTGGGGCCGGGGGGGGCCGGGCCCCGGCGCCTGCCCCTGCCCCAGCAGCAGGAGCCCGTTGGGTTCCGTGGTGCGGAAGTCGAAGGAGACGGAGCCGGTGCGGGCGGGCGGCCAGGGCGGCAGCGCCAGGAAGGCCTGGGGGGTGCCGAAGGTGACGGGCTCCGGCGCGGCCACGGGCTCGCAGCGGAAGAGCAGGGCCCCGTGCAGGGTCACGCGCGCGTCCCCCTCCTGCGCCAGGCGCGACAGCTCCAGCTTGAAGTCGTTGTTCTTGTAGATCACCTGCGGGAGCGAGGGGGAGTCACGTGGGTGGGGGGAGTCACGTGGGTGGGGGGTGAGTCACGTGGGTGCCCTCGTGGAGCACGTGGCGGGTGTATCACGTGGGTGCCCTCGTGGAACACATGTATGTCACACGGGTGCCCTCGTGTAACGCATGTCGTGTGTGTCATGTGGGTGCTCTCGTGGAACACATGTATGTCACACGTGTGCCCTCGTGTAACGCGTGTCGTGTGTGTCATGTGGGTGCTCTTGTGTAACACGTGTATGTCACATGTGTGCCCTCGTGTAACGCGTGTTGTGTGTCATGTAGGTGCCCTCATGGAACATGTGTCAGATATGTCATGCGTGTGTTGTCGTGTAACATGTATGTCACACGTGTGCCCTCGTGTAACGCGTGTCGTGTGTGTCATGTGGGTGCTCTCGTGTAACACGTGTATGTCACATGTGTGCCCTCGTGTAACGCGTGTTGTGTGTCATGTGCGTGCCCTCATGGAACATGTGTCAGATATGTCATGTGTGTGTTGTCGTGTAATATGTATGTCACACGTGTGCCCTCGTGTAATGTGTGTTGGGTGTGTCACGTGGGTGCCCTCGTGGAGCACGTGGCAGGTGTGTCACGTGGGTGTTGTCGTGTAACACATGTATGTCACACGGGTGCCCTCATGTAACGTGTGTCGTGTGTCACACGGGTGCCCTCGTGTAACGCGTGTTGTGTGTCACGTGTGCCCTCGTGGAACACGTGTTGGGTGTGTCACATGTGTGTTGTCGTGTAACACATGTATGTCACACGTGTGCCCTCGTGTAACACGTGTTGTGTGTCATGTGGGTGCCCTCGTGGAACACGTGTCGGGTGTGTCACACGTGTGTGCTCTCGTGTAATGTGTCGTGTGTCACGTGTGCTCTCGTGTAACACATGTGATATGTGTCACACATGTGTGCCCTCGTGTAACACGTGTCGTGTGTGTCACACGTGTGTCCTTGTGTAACGTGTCGTGTCATGTGTGCCCTCGTGTAATGTGTCATGTGTCACATGTGTGCCCTCATGTAACGTGTCATGTGTCACATGTGTTTCATCGTGTAAGATGTGTCATATCTGAGATGTGTTCTCGTGTAACACGTCGCATGTGTCACACATGTGTGGTTGTGTAACATGTGTTGTGTGTGTCACGTGTGTCACATGTGGGGCCTCGTGTAACACGTCCTGTGTGTCATGTGTGTGCCGTCGTGTAACACGTGTGTCACGTCTGTCATATGTGTCTTCATTTAACATGTAATGTGTGTCACATGTGTGTCCTCGTGTAACATGTCGTGTGTCACGTGTCACATGTGTGTTCTCTTGTGGCACGTCCTGTGTGTCACACGTGTGTCCTCATGTAACATGTGTCATGTGTGTCACACATGTGTCATGTGTAGGGCCTTGTGTAACATGTCGTGTGGGGGCTTGTGTCACATGTGTCATGTATGTCACACATGTGTCCTCGTGTAACATGTCATGTGTGTCACACTTGTGTCATGTGTGGGGCCTTGTGTAACACATGTCTATCACACATGTGGCCTCATGAAACACGTCATGTGTGTCACGTGTGTCTTCCTGTAACATGTCGTGTGTCACGTGTTTGCCACATGTGGGTCCTTGCACAGCACTTGTCATGTGCAGCACACGTGTGTCCTCCTGTAACACATGTCCCCTTGTACGTCACACGTGTGGTCTCATGTATCACGTGTCATGTGCATCACACACGTGTGTCCTCATGCAACACGTCTCCTGTGTCCCTCTGCACCCCCCCATGTGTCCCCATGCACCCCATGGCCCCCGCGTCCCTCTGCCCCCCCGTGTCCTCATGCACCCCCCGTGCCCCCCTCACTCACGTCCTTGAGGCACCCCATGAAGTTGTTGCTGACGGGGGACCCCGGGAGGTCGGCGGTGTTGGGGGACCCCCCCACGTAGAAGAAGTCGTCGGAGCCCAGCATGGTGTAGTCCTCCTGCGTGTACCCGGTCGTGGTCAGGATCCCGTCCACCGAGATCGTCACCTGCGGCACCAGGGCGCACGGCCTCAGCGCCGGCCCCGGCCCCGTCCAGCGGGGGGGGGGCCCAGGGGGAGCGGGGGACATGGGGGTCATGGGAGACATGGGGGGTAATGGGGGGTAATGGGGACATGGGGGTAATGGGAGACATGGGGGTAATGGGGACATGGGGGGCAATGGGGACATGGGGGTAATGGGGACATGGGGGGCAATGGGAACATGGGGGACAATGGGGACATGGGGGGCAATGGGGACATAGGGGGCAATGGGGACATGGGGGGCAATGGGAGACAGGCGACAATGGGGACATGGGGGGCAATGGGGACATAGGGGGCAATGGGGACATGGGGGGCAATGGGGACATGGGGGGCAATGGGAGACAGGCGACAATGGGGACATGGGGGGCAATAGGGACATGGGGGACAGCAAGGACATGGGGGGTGATGGGGACATAGGGGGCGATGAGGGCATAGGGGACATGGGGGGCAATGGGGACATGGGGGCAATGGGAGACATAGGGGGCAATGGGGACATGGGGGACAATGGGGACATGGGGGGCAATGGGGACATGGGGGGCAATGGGGACATGGGGGGCAATGGGGGCATGGGGGGTAATGGGGACATGGGGGGCATGGGGGCAATGGGAGATGTGGGGACATGGGGGCAATGGGGGAGATTGAGGACATGAGGATGGGGGGGACGTGGGGGTCAACGGAAGACATGGGGGCAATGGGGGACACAGAGATGTGGAGGACATGGGGGGGGCAATGGACGAGATAGGGGACAATGCAGACAAGGTGGCAGAAGGGGACGATGGGGACAGGGAGACAATGGGGTGGCCCCAAGGGACCGAGGGGTGTGGGGGTGGGGGGGGACAATGGGGACAAGGGGATGGGGGGGGGGTGTTAGTATCGAGTTTTGGGGTCCTCAGAACCAAGCTCAGACGATCAATGGGTGTTAGTGGGGGCAGGGCGTGCAGGGCGCGTGCAATGGGGGTGCGAGGGCATGAGCGGGGGTGCAAGGCGCGTGCAGGGGCACAGGGACAGGGGGAGCACCAGGGCCCTGCCATGGATGGGGCAGCCCCGTGTGAGACTTGCACACGCGTGTGAACATGAGCACACGCATGTACACGCATGTGAGCATGCACGTGAGTGCACTCAGGTGTGAACACACAGGAACACACGTGTGCGTGATACACACATACACGCGTGTGAGTATGCACGTGAGTGCACACAGGTGTGAGCACACATGAACACACGTGTGCGTGATACACACACGTACACACGTGTGAGCACACGCACATATGCACACGCATGTGAGCATGCACGTGAGTGCACACACGTATGAGCACACATGAACACACGTGTGCATGAACACACACATGTACACACGTATGAGCACACACATACACACACCCCCCCTTGCATGGGTACCTGCACACGCAAGATTGCACCCTTGCACACATGAACACGTGTGCACATGCACACACTCCATGGACCTCTCACCATTACACACCAGTGCACCCCCCCGCACCAGTGCACACGTGTGCACACACACACACATTGCATGGACCTCTCACCATTACACACCAGTGCACCCCCCCCTGCACCAGTGCACACTCGTGCATCCCCCCTTCCCCTGCACTTTGCGCACCCACCCTCAATGGTTCAGGCCCTGGTGCTCCGCCAGCAGCACCCATGGGTGGGGGGGGGTGGGGGAGGGGACACGGAGATGGGGAGGGGGCAAGGAAGGCCTTGGGGGGGGGAGGGGTCACAGTGTTAGTGAGCCATGCGGGGGGGGAGGGGCGTGCAAGGGGCGTGCAAGGGCTCCGTGCAGGCAGCGGGGGGGGAGGGTTGGGGGAGGGGAGATGGGGGGAGGGGGTCCCACTGCCTGCGGGGGGGGGGGGGAGGGGGGAAGCTGCCCACGGTTTGTCCTGAAAACGCCGTTTCTGTCCTCATTTGGGGGAGGGGCCACCCGGAAACCTGCCTCCACCCCCCCCACATGGTGACTCCCCCTCCCCCACCCCGAGTTGGGTTTTGGGATGAAAACGCCCCCAAAAAGTGGGGTTGGGGCCTCAGGTCAATCCCCACCCCCCAATCAATTTGGGGTGAAATCGGCTGGGTTTGGGTCTGCCTAGCTCGAGCCTGGCTGCCTACAAAGGAGGGAGGGAGGTCAGATGGACCAAAACCCAAAGAAAATGCCCCAAAATGAGGCTTTAAGACCCCCCCCCCATTAAGCAGCAGAGCCACCCCCTGCGGGGCAGGGTTTGGGTGGGAAATGGGTGGTTTTGGGGTCAGGGAGGCAGGGCTTAGAAAATTGCCCAAAATCGCAAGAATTCACCCTAAAAGGAGGGGGTTGGGACCCCACCATCAGCTCCCTGACCCAAAATGGGCTTATTTGGGGGGGAAAACGACTTGTTTTAGCATCGGGGTGCTGAGGAATGAGGGTGATGCCCTGACTGCAGTGGGAGGTATCAAATGGCCCCAAATCCCAAGAATTCACCCCAAAACGAGGGCAGGGGGTGAGGGTGGGGACCGACGTCACCCTCCCGAGGAAAAACATCCCCAGCTGACCCAAAACGGGCTCATTTTGGGGGGGAAGTGACCGTTTTTAGCATCGGGGAGCTGAGCTCTGGTGGCGACGCCTTTAACGCAGTGGCGGGATCAAATTGCCCAAAATCCCACGAATTCACCCCAAAACTGGGGGGGGTGGGGGTCACCTGACACCCCCCTCTCCACACTCACCCCTCCCCCCTCCATTGAGGCTATTTTGAGGGGGGGAGAGCGGCTGCTTTGGCATTGGGGACCCATGGGGTGGTGTTGTTGGGGGGGGTCGGGGGTCACCCCCTTATGGCAGGAATGGGGGCCCGGAAGGGGGCGGGGTTTGGGGGTGGGGGGGGTCACCTGACACCCCCCTCTCCACACTCACCCCTCCCCCCTCCATTGAGGCTATTTGGGGGGGGAGAGCGGCTGCTTTGGCATTGGGGACCCATGGGGTGTTGTTGTTGGGGGGTCGGGGGTCACCCCCTTATGGCAGGAATGGGGGCCCGGAGGGGGCGGGGTTTGGGGGTGTGGGGGGGGGTGTGGGGGGGCCGAGGCGAAGCCAAGGGGGAACAAGAGAGTGATAACTACCAGGTAATGCAGTTTGTTTACCATAGCGTGTCCGATCCCTGCGTGCTGGCGCCGGGGGAGCGGGGGACAAAACACAGCAGACAGTGACTTCTCCCGCAGCTTCGGGGGGGTCTGGGGGGGTTCGGGGGGGTTTGGGGGGGTTTGGGGGGGTTTTGGGGGTGTTGGTTTATTCCGAGGGGGAGGGGCCCCCCCAGGATTAGTGGGGGGCACGTGGTTAGTGGGGGGGGGCCCCGGAGGCGGGAAGCGTGTTAGTGGCACGCGCACACACAGGGGGGGGAGGGGGGGGTGGGGGGGGGCGTTGCACAAGGAGGGAAAAGGGGGGGGGGGCGTTGTAAGGGGGGGGGGGTGCACGCGGGGGCTGCTCCCACCTTGGGGGAGGGCAGCGGAGGTGTTAGAGGGGGGCATGGACACCCCCCAGGAGCCCAGCACTCGGTGTCCCAGGGCTCCCAGTTGGGTACTGGGCCGAGGAACCAGTGCTCCCAGTGCTCCCAGTGCTTCCAGTTGGGTACTGGACCAAGGAACCAGTGCTCCCAGTGTTCCCAATTGGGTCCTGGGCCTAGGAACCACTGCTCCCAGTGCTCCCAATGCTCCCAGTTGGGTCCTGGGCCAAGGAACCACTGCTGCCAGTGCTCCCAGTGTTCCCAGTTGGGTACTGGACCAAGGAACCAGTGTTCTCAGTGTTCCCAGTTGAGTCCTGGGCTGAGGAACCCCTGCTCCCAGTGCTCCCAGTGCTTCCAGTTGGATACTGGACCAAGGAACCAGTGCTTCCAGTTGGGTACTGGACCAAGGAACCAGTGCTCCCAGTGTTCCCAGTTGGGTCCTGAGCCTAGGAACCACTGCTTCCAGTGCTCCCAATGCTCCCAGTTGGGTCCTGGGCCAAGGAACCACTGCTGCCAGTGCTCCCAGTGTTCCCAGTTGGGTACTGGACCAAGGAACCAGTGTTCCCAGTGTTCCCAGTTGGGTCTTGGGCCGAGGAACCAGTGTTCCCATTGCTCCCAATGCTCCCAGTTGGGTTCTAGACCAAGGAACCAGTGCTCCCATTGCTCCCAGTGCTTCCAGTTGGGTACTGGACCAAGGTACCACTGCTCCCATTGCTCCCAGTGCTTCCAGTTGGGTACTAGACCAAGGAACCAGTGCTCCCAGTGTTCCCAGTTGGGTCCTGGGCCAAGGAACCACTGCTCCCAGTGCTCCCAGTGTTCCCAGTTGGGTCCTGGACGAAGGAACCACTGCTCCCATTGCTCCCAGTGCTTCCAGTTGAGTTGTTGACCAAGGAACCAGAGCTCCCAGTTGGGTACCAGACCAAGGCACCAGTTTTCCCAATGCTCCAGCTGGGTGTTTGATCAACAAGTTCAGTGCTTCCCAGTTGGGGAGTAGCCCCCAGTGTCCAACACCCCCAGTTGGGTACTGGACCAAGGCAACCAGTGCTCCCAGTAGTCCCAGTAAGGTAGTTAACCGACACACACAGTGCTCCCAGTTCGGGAGCAGACCCTGGTGTCCATCACCACCAGTTGCGTAATGGACCAAGGTGCCCAATGCTCCCAGTGCTCCCAGTTGTGGAGCTGCTCAAGCCACCTAGCTCCCCCAGTTGGGTGGTCGAACATCATGCCTGGTGCTCCCAGTTGGGCAGTTGAGCAAGGTCAGGTGGTTGACCATCATGTCCAATGCTTCCAGTGCTCCCAGTTGGGGAGATCACCAAGGCACCCATTGACCTCAGCTGGGCACTTGACCATCATACCCAGTCCTCCCAGTTGGGCAGTTGACCAAGGCTGGGTGATTGACCAAGGCACCCATTGCCCTCAGCTGGGGAGCTGTCCAAGGTTGAGTGCTTGACCAAGACACCCAGTGCTTCCAATTGAGTACTGGACCAAGACACCCATTGTCTTCAGTTGGGTGCTTGACCAAGGCACCCAGTTCTTCCAGTTGAGTACTGGACCAAGACACCCATTGTCTTCAGTTGGGTGCTTAACCAGGGTACTCATTGTCCTCAGTGGGGTGCTTACCTAAGTCACTCACTGTACTCAGTGGGGTGCTTGACCAAAGCACCCCTTGCTCCCAGTTGAGTACTGGACCAAGGCACCCATTGCTCCCAGCTGGGGAGATCACCCAGACACCCACTGGCTTCAGTTGGGGAGCTGCCCAGGGCTGGGTGCTTGACCAAGACACCCATTGCCTTCAGTTGGGTGCTTGACCAAGACACCCATTGCCCTCAGTGGGGGAGCTGTCCAAGGTTGGGTGCTTGACCAAGACACTCAGTGTGTCCAGTTGGGTGCTTGACCAATACACCCATTGCCCTCAGTTGGGGAAGTTGTCTAAAGTTGGGTGCTTGACCAAGGCACCCAGTGCTTCCTGTTGGGTGCTTGACCAAGACACCCATTGCCCTCAGTTGGGGGAGCTGTCCAAGGTTGGGTGCTTGACCAAGACACCCATTGTCCCCAGTTGGGGGAGCTGTCCAAGGTTGGGTGCTTGACCAAGGCACCCAGTGCTTCCAGTTGGGTGCTTGACCAAGACACCCATTGCCCTCAGCTGGGGAGCTGTCCAAGGCTGGGTGCTTGACCAAGAAACCCATTGCCCTCAGTGGGGGAGCTGTCCAAGGTTGGGTGCTTGACCAAGGCACCCAGTGCTTCCAGTTGGGTGCTTGACCAAGACACCCATGCCCTCAGTTGGGGGAGCTGTCCAAGGTTGGGTGCTTGACCAAGACACCCATTGTCCCCAGTTGGGGGAGCTGTCCAAGGTTGGGTGCTTGACCAAGGCACCCAGTGCTTCCAGTTGGGTGCTTGACCAAGACACCCATTGCCCTCAGTTGGAGAGCTGTCCAAGGTTGGGTGCTTGACCAAGGCACCCAGTGCTTCCAGTTGGGTGCTTTACCAAGACACCCATTGTCCCCAGTTGGGGGAGCTGTCCAAGGTTGGGTGCTTGACCAAGACACTCAGTGTTTCCAGTTGGGTGCTTGACCAAGACACCCATTGCCCTCAGCTGGGGAGCTGTCCAGGGCTGGGTGCTTGACCAAGGCACCCATTGCCCTCAGTTGTGGAGCTGTCCAAGGTTGGGTGCTTGACCAAGGCACCCAGTGCTTCCAGTTGGGTTCTTGACCAATACACCCATTGGCTTCAGCTGGGAAGTGGTCCAAGGTTGGGTGCTTGACCAAGGGACCCATTGCCAGGACACCATTGCCCCCAACTGGGCAGCTGACTGTCACACCCAGCCATCCTAGCTGGGCCATTGACCAAAGCTGGGTGCTTGACCAAGACACCAGTGCTCCCAGCTGGTGAGATCACCCAGGAGCCCACTGCCATTATTTGGGCACTTGACCATCCCACCCAGTCCTAACAACTGGGAGGTTGACTAAGGTTGGGTGCTTGACCAAGGCACCCAGTGCTTCCAGTTGCGTGCTGGACAAGACACCCATTGCCCTCAGTTGGGTGCTTGACCAGAGACTCATTGTCCTCAGTTGGGTGCTTGACCATCCCTCCCAGTCCTCCCAGTTGGGGAATTGACCAAGGTGGGTGCTTGACCAAGGCACCCAATGCTTCCAGTTGAGTACTGGAAAAAGCACCCATTGCCCTCAGTTGGTCACTTGACCATCCCACCCAGTCCTCACAATTGGATGGTTGACTGCGGTTGGGTGCTTGACCAAGGCACCCATTGCCCCCAGTTTGCTGCTTGACCAAGACACTCATTACCCACAGTTGGGTGATAGACCAAAACACCCATTGCTCCCAGTTGGGTGCTTGACCAAGACACTCATTTCCTTCAGTTGGATGCTTGACCAAGACACCCATTGCCCCCAGTTTGCTGCTTGACCAAGACACCCATTGCTCCCAGTTTGCTGCTTGACCAAGACACCCATTGCTCCCAGTTGCGTTCTTGACCAAGACACCCATTGCTCCCAGTTGGGTTCTCGACCAAGATACCCATTGCTCCCAGTTGAGCGCTTGACCAAGACACCCATTACTCCCAGTTTGTTGCTTGACCAAGACACCCTTTGCCCCCAGTTTGCTGCTTGACCAAGACACCCATTGCTCCCAGTTTGCTGCTTGACCAAGACACCCATTGCTCCCAGTTGGGTGCTTGACCAAGACACCCATTGCTCCCAGTTGGATGCTTGACCAGGAAACACACTGCCCCCAGTTTGACACTCATTTCCTTCAGTTGGATGCTTGACCAAGACACCCATTGCTCCCAGTTGGGTGCTTGACCAAGACACTCATTTCCTTCAGTTGGATGCTTGACCAAGACACCCATTGCTCCCAGTTGGGTGCTTGACCAAGAAACCCACTGCCCCCAGTTTGCTGCTTGACCAAGACACCCATTGCTCCCAGTTTGTTGCTTGACCAAGACACCCATTGCTCCCAGTTTGCTGCTTGACCAAGACACCCATTGCTCCCAGTTTGCTGCTTGACCAAGACACCCATTGCTCCCAGTTTGCTGCTTGACCAAGACACCCATTGCTCCCCGTTGGGTGCCTGACCAAGACACCCATTGCTCCCAGTTTGCTGCCTGACCAAGACACCCATTACTCCCAGTTTGCTGCCTGACCAAGACACCCATTGCTCCCCGTTGGGTGCCTGACCAAGACACCCATTGCTCCCAGTTTGCTGCTTGACCAAGACACCCATTACTCCCAGTTGGGTTCTTGACCAAGACACCCATTGCTCCCAGTTTGCTGCTTGACCAAGACACCCATTACTCCCAGTTTGTTGCTTGACCAAAACACCCATTGCTCCCAGTTGGGTTCACCAAACACCCACCCCACACCAAACACCCACCCCACACCAAACACCCACCCCAACCAAACACCCACCCCACACCAACACCCACCCCACCACCAAACACCCACCCACACCAAACACCCACCCCACCTCGACCAAGACACCCATTGCTCCCAGTTTGCTGCTTGACCAAGACACCCATTGCTCCCAGTCGGGTTCTTGACCAAGACACCCATTGCTCCCAGTTGGGTGCTTGACCAAGACACCCATTGCTCCCAGTTGGGTGCTTGACCAAGACACCCATTGTCCCCAGTTGGGTGGTTGACCAAGACACCCATTGCTCCCAGTTGGGCGCTTGACCAAGACACCCATTGCTCCCAGTTGGGCGCTTGACCAAGACACCCATTGCTCCCAGTTTGCTGCTTGACCAAGACACCCATTGCTCCCAGTTTGCTGCTTGACCAAGACACCCATTACTCCCAGTTTGCTGCCTGACCAAGACACCCATTGCTCCCAGTTTGCTGCTTGACCAAGACACCCATTGCTCCCAGTTTGCTGCTTGACCAAGACACCCATTGCTCCCAGTTTGCTGCTTGACCAAGACACCCATTGCCCCCAGTTGGGTGCTTGACCAAGACACCCATTGCTCCCAGTTTGCTGCTTGACCAAGACACCCATTGCTCCCAGTTGGGCGCTTGACCAAGACACCCATTGTCCCCAGTTGGGAGCTTGACCAAGACACCCATTGCTCCCAGTTTGCTGCTTGACCAAGACACCCATTACTCCCAGTTTGCTGCCTGACCAAGACACCCATTACTCCCAGTTTGCTGCCTGACCAAGACACCCATTACTCCCAGTTTGCTGCCTGACCAAGACACCCATTGCTCCCAGTTTGCTGCCTGACCAAGACACCCATTGCCCCCAGTTGGATGCTTGACGAAGACACCCATTGCTCCCAGTTGAGTGCCTGACCAAGACACCCATTGCTCCCAGTTGGGTTCTTGACCAAGACACCCATTGCTCCCAGTTGGGTTCTTGACCAAGACACCCATTGCCCCCAGTTTGCTGCCTGACCAAGACACCCATTGCTCCCAGTTGAGCACTTGACCAAGACACCCATTGCCCCCAGTTTGCTGCCTGACCAAGACACCCATTGTCCCCAGTTGGGTTCTTGACCAAGACACCCATTGCTCCCAGTTGAGCGCTTGACCAAGACACCCATTACTCCCAGTTTGTTGCTTGACCAAGACACCCATTACTCCCAATTCGTTGCTTGACCAAGACACCCATTGCTCCCAGTTGAGCACTTGACCAAGACACCCATTGCCCCCAGTTTGCTGCCTGACCAAGACACCCATTGCCCCCAGTTGGGTTCTTGACCAAGACACCCATTACTCCCAGTTTGCTGCCTGACCAAGACACCCATTGCTCCCAGTTGGATTCCTGACCAAGACACCCATTGCTCCCAGTTTGATGCCTGACCAAGACACCCATTGCTCCCAGTTGGGTTCTTGACCAAGACACCCATTGCTCCCAGTTTGCTGCTTGACCAAGACACCCATTGCTCCCAGTTTGCTGCTTGACCAAGACACCCATTGCTCCCAGTTGGGTTCTTGACCAAGACACCCATTGCTCCCAGTTTGCTTCTTGACCAAGACACCCATTGCTCCCAGTTTGCTGCTTGCCCAAGACACCCATTGCTCCCAGTTTGCTGCTTGACCAAGACACCCATTGCTCCCAGTTGAGTGCCTGACCAAGACACCCATTGCTCCCAGTTGAGTGCCTGACCAAGACACCCATTGCTCCCAGTTTGCTGCTTGACCAAGACACCCATTACTCCCAGTTGGGTTCTTGACCAAGACACCCATTACTCCCAGTTTGCTTCTTGACCAAGACACCCATTACTCCCACTTGAACCCTTGTCCACCGCCACCCCCCGGTGCCCTCCGGCGCCCCGGCCCGTACCTGCCGCAGGTTGCGGGTGACGCGGATGTCGTGCCAGTCGTTGTCATTGAACTTGCCATTGACGGGCTCCACCAGCGCCTCGAAGGCGCCCGAGCCCAGGTTGATGACGAGCCAGACGGCGCCGCTCTTGAGCGAGAGGTTGACGTAGTCGGCCGCCTTGCCCGTGTGCAGCAGCAGCCCGTTGCGCTGCGCCGTGCGGAACGACAGCGTCAGCTCGTCCGTGCTGCTCTGGATGGGGTTGTGCGAGAGGTCGTAGCAGAAGAACTCGTTGCCCTTGAAGGTGGCCACGTACTCGTCCCGGCCTGCGGGGACCCCGGCGGTGCGGTGTCAGTGGGGGGGGGGGGGAACGGGGGGTTGTGATGGGGATGGGAACAGGGCCTTGGATGGGGACTCTGTGGTGGGTGTTGCATCAGGGTTGTGATGGGGAGCAGAGGGGTTGTGGTGGGCACAGGGGATTGCATTGGGGGATTGGAACAGGGCCTTGGATGGGGACCTTGCATTGGGTCTTGCACTTGGGACTTGCACCATGGAGTGCAGTGGTGGTGGTGGGGCACAGGGGTTGAAGAGGGGGATTGGGACATGGGATTGAACTGGGGGATTGGAACAGGACCTTGCAATAGGACCTTGCATTGGGTCTTGCACTTGGACCTTGCACCGGGGTTGTGATGGGGAGCACAGGGGTTGTGGTGGGAACAAGGGGTTGCAATGGGGGATTGGAACAGGACCTTCAATGGGGACCTTGCATTGGGTCTTGCACTTGGGACCTTGCACCATGGAGTGCGGTGGTGGTGGTGGGGCTCAGTGGTTGTGATGAGGGATTGCAATGGGGGCTTAAGGGGGATCTTGCACCGAGGGCTTTGCAATTGGGTCGCGCCCCAAGGACCTTGCACCAGGGATCGTGCCCTGGGGGCCTCAATGTGGCCCTTGCACCAGGGGCTTGCACGGGGGCTTTGCACGGGGAGCCCTGCACTGGGGTCTCTGTAAGAGGCCCTTGCTCAGGGCCCCACCATGGGGCTTGCACCAGGGCTTCCAAACAGGACCCGGCAACACGAGCGCTGCACTGGGGTCCTGCAGCACCGGCGCCTTGCACGGGGGCCTTGCACGGGCGCCTTGCACGGGGGCCTTGCACGGGCGCCTTGCACGGGGGCCTTGCACGGGGGCCTTGCACGGGGACCTTGCACGAGGGCCTTGCACGGGGGCCTTGCACGGGGACCTTGCACTGGGGCCTTGCACGGGGGCCTTGCACGGGGGCCTTGCACGGGGGCCTTGCACCGGGGTCCTGCAGCACCGGTGCCTTGCACAGGGGCCTTGCACGAGGGATGCAGCAGGGGCCTTGCACAGGGGCCTTGCACGGGGGCCTTGCACTGGGGTCCTGCAGCACCGGCTCCTTGCACGGGGGCCTTGCACGGGGGATGCAGCGGGTGCGGGCCCGCGGGCGCAAGCTGAGCGTGCAAGGGCTGCGCTCGTGGTGCGAGGCTGGGGCCACGCGGGCGCCTTCACAGCCACAGCCCCTGTGCAGCACCCGTGGGGGGTGCAAGGGCGGCCTCGTGCACGCACGCGCCCGGGGCACGTTTGTGTGCGCGGCTCCACAGGTGGGTGTGCGACGGCAGCTGGGGGATGGGCTCTGTGTGTGTGAGTGTGCAAGTGCGTGTGTGTGTGTGTGTGCACGAATGTACATGTGTATGCAGGTGCAAGCACGTGTGTGCGTGTGTGTGCACATGTGCATGCACTGCAAGCACGTGCTTGCATGTACATGTATGTATGAATATACATGTGTATGCACATGCAAGCACATGTGTTTGCTCATGTGCACATGTGCATGCGCGTGCAAGCACGTGTGTGCATGTTCATGTGTGTGTGTACATGTGTGTATGAATATACGTGTATGCATGTGCAAGCACATGTGTGTGCGTGTGTGGACATGTGCATTGGTGTGCAAGCACGTGTATGCATGTACATGTATGTGTGTACATGTGTGTATGCATGTACATGTGTATGCATGCGCTTGCACATGTGAGTGCATGCACATGTGTAAATGTGCATGTGTGTTTCTACATGTGAGTGCACATGTATGTGCATGTTCGTGCACACGTGTTTGCATATGTGTGTGTATATGTGTGCTTGCACACATGTTTGCATGTGTGTGTACATGTGTGTGCGTATACGTGCGTAAGAGCACGTGTGTACATGTGCGTGTACATTTGCATGTGTGCATGTACATGTGTGTGCATACGTGAGTCCGCACACGTGTGTTTGCATGTCTGCGTGGACATATGTGTGCGTGTCCATGTGTGTGCATGTACATGTGTGTGCAAGTAAATGTGTGTACATGTGTGTGCATGTGTGTGCCCGTGTTTGCACGTATACGTGTACATGTGTGCGTGTACATATGTATGTACATGCGTGTGTGTGCACCCGTATGTTTGCATGTGTGCGTATACATGTGTGTGTGTTTACATGTGTGAAAGTGCACGTGTGCATATCCATGCACATGCGTGTGCATGTCCATGTGATCACACACGTGTGCGCGTGCAGGTGTGCGTGCCCATACGTGTGCTTGCACACGCGTGTGCAGGTCACTGACCTTTCGCCGCCTGCTGGATCTCTCCGGCGCCGGGGCCGGTTCCCCCCTCGGTGACCTCGGCGGGCCCTGGGGGAGGGGCGGGGTCACACGCGTGTGCACAGGCAGGAACTCACGCCCGGGGGGGGCCCCCCCCTTGCACAACGGGGGGGGGGGTGCGTGTGTGCGGGGGGGGATGGGACCGAGGGGGCCCCCTCAGTCCTCGTGCGGGGGGGGGCGCGTGTGCAGGGGCCTCGTGCCCGTGCAAGGAGCCGCCCCTCCCCCTCCCCTCCCCCTTCCCCTCCCCCCCCCCGTCCCCGCGCGAGGCGGCCGCCCCTCCCCCCCCGTGTCCACGAGCCACAGACACGATGCGGGGGAGGGGAGGGGGGTGGCGGTGACGCTGATGACGCCGGTGATGACGCTGGGGATGACGTCGGGGGGGGGTTGGTGATGGCGGTGAGGATGAGGATGGCGCGGGGGGGGGAGGGGGAGGGGTCGCGTCATTACCTTGGCCGGTGACTCGCAGGTGGGCGGGGCCTGGGGGGGCGGAGCCAAAGGAAAACGCGGGAAAAGCGGAAGTGGAAAAGGGAAAGTTCCGGGAGAAGAAAGTGAAAGTGGTGAAAGAGCGCGAGAGCGGCTTGGGGGGAGGGGGAAGGAACGAAAGTGAAAGTTATGGGGAGGGGGAACCGAAATGGGGGGGGAAAGGTGAAAGCGGTGGAGGAAAAAAGGAGGAAATGAGCGAAAAAAAGGAAAAAAAGAGAAATGGTGAAAAATGGAAAAGTGAAAGGGGAAAATGGGGAAAAAGGAGGAAAAAAGGGAAAAGAATCAAAGGGAAAGAAAGTGGCGAAAGGGAAAGTGAAAGAAAAGGGAAAGTCACGGGGAGGGGGATGGGAAAAATGGGAAATGAGAAAGGAGAAGTGAGGGAAAAGGGGAAATGAATCCAAGAAAGAGGCAAAAGAGACAAAAACGAGGAAAATGGTTTTTAAAAAGGAAAATAATGAAAAAGGAAAAATAATTTTGAAAGGGAAAATGGGAAAAAGGGGAAATGATGGAAAAAAGGGAAATTAAAGACGTGGGAAAGGTTAAAAGAGGGGAAATGTAAAGAAAGGGAAAATGACGTTTAAAGGGAAAATAAACCACGAAAATGATGAATTTTTAAAACAATTTAATAAAGGAAAATGAAGCAAAAGAGGAAAAGTATCAAGAAGGTAAAATAATTTTTAAATGGAAAACGGGAGAAAAGGGAAAATGGTGAAAAAGAAAAAATGATCAAAAAAGGAAAATGGTAAAAAATAGTAATAATAAAAAGACAAAAAATAAAAGGAACATAAGAAAAAAGGGAAAAAATAAAAAAGTTTAAAAGGAAAAAATTTTAAAAAGAAAATAAAAAAGAAAAATAAAAACAATTTTTAACGGGAAAATAGGAAAAAATGGGAAAATGATCGAAAAAGGGAAAAAGTTAAAAATGGGAAAAATAAAAATGTAAAAAGAAAAAATGAAAAAAGGGAAAATATAAAAAAGGGAAAATTTTAAAGGAAAAAATAAGAGGAAAAATAGAAAAAAGAAAAAGGGGCAAATTAAAAATTGGGAAATAGCAAAAAAAGGAAAAAATTATAAAAGGGAAAGAATACAATAGGGGGGAAATGTAAAAAGGGGAAAAATAAAAGAGAATAAAGAAAAAAGGGAAGAAATCAAAAAGGCGAAAATAAAAAAGTGAAATAATAAAAAAAGGGGGAAAAATGACAAAGCAAAATGTTAAAAAAGAGGAAAAACGATGAAAACTCTCAAAAAGAACTAAAAAAGCCGAATCCGGAGTTTCTGCCCAAAGGACGCGATCGCTTCCGAGCGCCCGGGAAGGGGGGGGGAGGGGCGGGGGGTGACGTCACCGCGGGCCGCGTCACAACTTAAAGCGCTTTAACTTGTGACGGCATCGAGCGATGCCGGGGTGGGGGCGGGGCGGGGCCAGGGGCGGGGGGGAGGGGCCAACATCGAACCCGCCCCTCCCCCCCCCCGCCTTTTCCCGCGGGTTTTTCCCCAACTCGTGGCGGGGAAAAAACCCCTCGAGGAGGGGGGTGGGGGAAAGGGGATGAGACACGGGGAGGGCGGGGCGAGCCTCGCGCGGGGACACGCCCCGCCCCTCGCCCCGCCCCGGCAGCGCCAACCCGCCTCCCTATTGGCTGCCGGGGCACCTTCGTTTGCATAACCCCGCCCCCTCGAACGCACAGCCCCCCGCGTGGATTCCTCGTTTGCATCGCGCCTTCCGTGGGGGGGGGGGAGGGGGATGGTGACGTCATGCGGGTGACGTCATTGGACGAGCCTCGTGCGTTGCACATGGCCCTGCTCTGGGCACCCTGAGCCTTGCCCCTGCCCTGCGCTAACCCTGCCCTGCACCCCCTTTGTGCCTTCTATAACCCCCCTTTCCCATTGCACAAACCCCCCTTGTCCCTTGCAAACCCCCCCCCTTTGTCCCTTGCAAACCCCCCTTTGTCCCTTGCAAACCCCCCTTTGTCCCATGCACAATCCCCACTGTCCCTTGCACACCCCTTGTCCCTTGCAAACCCCCCCTTATCCCCTTGCAAACCCCCCTTTGTCCCATGCACAATCCCCATTGTCCCTTGCACACCCCTCGTGCCTTGCACCCCCCGTCTCACCTTCCACAGCCGGTTCTTCCTCTGGGGGTCCAAGCAGCAGCAGGGGAAGGGCAGAGGTGACAGTGAGCGGGACCCTCGTGACCCCCCTGTGACACCAGCCCGACCCCGCGCCCTTGGGTGACCTTGGGGGGGGGTGGGGGCCACGAGGCTGGGCCTTGCACCCCGGTTGTGTTGTGGGGGGGGGGGTGTTGCACGCCCTGGTGCAATTTGCACACCATGACACAGGTCCGAGGGGTTTAATGCCTTTTGCACGCCCACAGGCACCCCACATCACACACAGCACCCATAGCACCCCATGGGGCGCTCCATAGCACCCCACTGCACCCCAGAAGGACCCTGCACCCTATGGGGCAGCCCACAGGTCCCTGCACCCTATGGGAGAGTCCTCCCACACACACCCCGTCCCATCCCCCTTCAAGGACGCGCCCGGTTTGACCGCTCCCCCCCAGCACCGCTCCCAGGCAACCGTCACCATGGCAACGGGTCAGGTGCCAGCATCACCATGGCAAAACAGCCCCAGCATCACCATAGCAACCCATCCCCTGCATCACCACGGTAAACCAGCCCCGGCATCACCATGGCAACCCATCCCCTGCATCACCATGGTAAACCAGCCCCGTCCTCACCATGGCAACCCATCCCCTGCATCACCATGGCAAACCAGCCCCGGCATCACCATGGCAACCCATCCCCTGCATCACCATGGCAAACCAGCCCCGGCATCACCATGGCAACCCATCCCCTGCATCACCATGGCAAAACAGCCCCAGCATCACCATGGCAACCCATCCCCTGCATCACCATGGCAAAACAGCCCCAGCATCACCATGGCAACCCATCCCCTGCATCACCATGGCAACCCATCCCCTGCATCACCATGGTAAACCAGCCCCGGCATCACCATAGCAACCCATCCCCTGCATCACCATGGTAAACCAGCCCCGGCATCACCATAGCAACCCATCCCCTGCATCACCATGGTAAACCAGCCCCGGCATCACCATAGCAACCCATCCCCTGCATCACCATGGTAAACCAGCCCCGGCATCACCATGGCAACCCATCCCCTGCATCACCATGGCAACCCATCCCCTGCATCACCATGGCAACCCATCCCCTGCATCACCATGGCAACAGGCCTGGGAGATGCTGTCGCTATGGCAATGCCGCCGGCTGTCACCGGTACTCAGCAGGGATGTGTGCAGGGGGGGCCTTGCACAAGGGGGACCTTGCACGAGGGCCTCAGGGGACACCCAGCTTTCGCCAGCACCTTGGGGTCACACAGGCCCTGGGGCCTTGCACGAGTGCCTGCAAGGGCACCAGGCCGTGCAACTCCACAAGGGCGTGCAAGGGCACATGGGGGTGCGAGGGGCCCCGGTTGTGCAACGGCACAAGGGCGTGCAAGGGTACCGGGACATGCGATTGCACAAGGGCGTGCAGAGGCACGGGGGGGGGCAAGGGTGTGCATGGGCACGAGGACATGGAGCAACTCAAGGATGTGGTGAGAGGTGTCCATGGGCAACAGCAGGACATGAGGGGATGGAGGAACACGAGGGGGCAGCCGTAAAGCAGCGCTGTCGGGATGCACAATGGGACCGAGAGGATGGGGACGGACACCAGGACACGAGGACGTGAGGACACCGGGACAGGAGGACGTGAGGACACCGGGACACGAGGACACCGGGACACGAGGACGTGAGGACACCGGGACACGAGGACACCGGGACACGAGGACGTGAGGACACCGGGACACGAGGACGTGAGGACACCGGGACACGAGGACGTGAGGACACCGGGACACGAGGACACCGGGACACGAGGACACCGGGACACGAGGACACCGGGACACGAGGACGTGAGGACACCGGGACATGAGGACACCGGGACACGAGGACGTGAGGACACCGGGACACGAGGACGTGAGGACACCGGGACACGAGGACGTGAGGACACCGGGACACGAGGACGTGAGGACACCGGGACACGAGGACGTGAGGACACCGGGACACGAGGACACCGGGACAGGAGGACGTGAGGACACCGGGACACGAGGATGTGAGGACACCGGGACACGAGGAGGTGAGGACACCGGGACACGAGGACGTGAGGACACCGGGACACGAGGACGTGAGGACACCGGGACACGAGGACGTGAGGACACCGGGACACGAGGACGTGAGGACACCGGGACACGAGGACGTGAGGACACCGGGACACGAGGACGTGAGGACACCGGGACACGAGGACGTGAGGACACCGGGACACGAGGACACCGGGACACGAGGACGTGAGGACATCGGGACACCGAGCAACGCAAGACCACGACACCACGAGCGTGTGCAACACCACCAGGACACGGACACGGCGAGACAACGGCCAGGACAGCGCGGGGCACAAAGGGGACGTGAGGACACGGAGAGTGGGAGTGTGAGGAGGTGCAAGAGCCCAGAGCCATGGTGGGACCGTGGCCACATGGTGAAGACGACATCCAGCACCATGGAGGCACCACAACAATGTCAATGCCATGATGTCCAACACCACAGAGATGTCAATGCCATGATGTCCAACACCACAAAGGTGTCAATGCCATGATGTCCAACACCACGATGTCAGTGCCATGATGTCCAACACCACAGAGATGTCAATGCCATGATGTCCAACACCACAACAATGTCAATGCCATGATGTCCAACACCACAGAGATGTCAATGCCATGATGTCCAACACCACAGAGATGTCAATGCCATGATGTCCAACACCACAGAGATGTCAATGCCCTGATGTCCAACACCACAACGATGTCAATGCTATGATACCCAACACCACAACGGTGTCAATGCCCTGATGTCCAACACCACAACGATGTCAATGCCATGATGTCCAACACCACAACGGTGTCAATGCCCTGATGTCCAACACCACAGAGATGTCAATGCCATGATGTCCAACACCACAACGATGTCAATGCCATGATGTCCAACACCACAACGATGTCAATGCCCTGATGTCCAACACCACAGAGATGTCAATGCCATGATGTCCAACACCACAACGATGTCAATGCCCTGATGTCCAACACCACAACGGTGTCAATGCCCTGATGTCCAACACCACAACGATGTCAATGCCAGGATGTCCAACACCACAACGGTGTCAATGCCAGGATGTCCAACACCACAACGATGTCAATGCCATGATGTCCAACACCACAGAGATGTCAATGCCCTGATGTCCAACACCACAACGATGTCAATGCCATGATGTCCAACACCACAACGGTGTCAATGCCATGATGTCCAACACCACAGAGATGTCAATGCCCTGATGTCCAACACCACAACGATGTCAATGCCATGATGTCCAACACCACAACGGTGTCAATGCCATGATGTCCAACACCACAGAGATGTCAATGCCCTGATGTCCAACACCACAACGATGTCAATGCCATGATGTCCAACACCACAACGGTGTCAATGCCATGATGTCCAACACCACAGAGATGTCAATGCCCTGATGTCCAACACCACAACGATGTCAATGCCATGATGTCCAACACCACAACGGTGTCAATGCCATGATGTCCAACACCACAGAGATGTCAATGCCCTGATGTCCAACACCACAACGATGTCAATGCCATGATGTCCAACACCACAACAATGTCAATGCCGTGATGTCCAACACCACAACAATGTCAATGCCATGATGTCCAACACCACAGAGATGTCAATGCCATGATGTCCAACACAACAACAGTGTCAATGCCATGATGTCCAACACCACAGCAATGTCAATGCCATGATGTCCAACACAACAATGTTAATGCCATGATGTCCAACACCACAGAGATGTCAATGCCATGATGTCCAACACCACAACAGTGTCAATGCCAGGATGTCCAACACCACAACAATGTCAATGCCATGATGTCCAACACCACAGAGATGTCAATGCCATGATGTCCAGCACCACAATGATGTCAATGCCATGATGTCCAACACCACAACAATGTCAATGCCATGATGTCCAACACCACAGAGATGTCAATGCCATGATGTCCAGCACCACAACAATGTCAATGCCATGATGTCCAACACCACAGAGATGTCAATGCCATGATGTCCAACACCACAGAGATGTCAATGCCATGATGTCCAACACCACAGAGATGTCAATGCCCTGATGTCCAACACCACAACAATGTCAATGCCATGATGTCCAACACCACAGAGATGTCAATGCCCTGATGTCCAACACCACAACAGTGTCAATGCCATGATGTCCAACACCACAACAATGTCAATGCCATGATGTCCAACACCACAGAGATGTCAATGCCATGATGTCCAACACCACAACGATGTCAATGCCACGATGTCCAACACCAAAAGATGCGTGTTGATGTTGTTCACAAAGATGTCCTCCAGGAACATGAGGACAGCATCCAGCACCGTGAAGGAATCAGCACCACAAAGACGTCAACGCCATGAAGACATTGTCCAACACCATGAAGACATCACCCACATTATTGGAAGAATCCAATGCCATGAAGACATCAACACCACAAAGATGTCAACACCATGAAGGCGTTCAACACAATGACATCCTCCAATGCCTTGAAGACAATGTCCAGCACTGTGGAGGCATCCAGTGCCATGAAGGCATCAACACCACAAAGACATCTGACACCATGGAGGCATTGAATACCCTGAAGAAGACATTGTCCAGCACCACAATGAGGTTGCCCAACACCATGACGACATCATCCGACACCATGACAACGTCTTCCAACACCACGAAGGCATCAACACCACAAAATGTTAATGCCATGAAGATGTTGTCCAACACCATGAACATGTCCAAAGCCATGAAGACATTGTCTAACACATGGCAGCGTTGCCCAACACCATGAAGGCATCAACACCACAAAGATGTCAGTGCTATGAGGACGTCGGTGCCTTGAAGATATCTAATCTAATGCCATAAAACTATGAGGACATTGTCCCACACCATAGAGACATCCAATACCATGAAGACAGGAATACCATGAAGGCATCAATGCCATGAGGATGTCCAACACCGTTGCAACATCCAATGCCATGAAGGCAACATCCAACACCATAAAGATGTCAATGCCATGAAGACATTCAATGTTATGACAGTATCACCCAAGACCACAAAGATGTCATCCAATGCCATGAAGACATTGTCTAACACCATGAAGACGTCATCCAACAACATGACAGCGTCATCCAACGTCATGAAGCCATTGTCCAACACCATGAAGACATCACCCAGTGCCATGAAGCCATTGTTTAACACCATGAAGATGTCATCCAATGCCATGAAGACATTATCCAACACCATGAAGATGTCATCTAACACCATGACCGCATCATCCAATGCCATGAAGACACTGTCCAACACCATGAAGATGTCATCCAATGCCATAACAGCATCACCCAATGCCATGAAGACATGGTCCAACACCACAAAGACCTCATCCAACACCACGACGGCATCATCCAACACCATGAAGATGTCATCTAACACCATGACAGCATCATCCAATGCCATGAAGACACTGTCCAACAGCATGAAGATGTCATCCAATGCCATGAGAGCATCATCAACACGATGAAGACATGGTCCAATGCCATGAGAGCATCATCAACACGATGAAGACATGGTCCAACACCATGACAGCATCATCCGATGCCATGGAGACATTGTCTAACACCATGATGACGTCATCCAATGCCATGAGAGCATCATCTGATGCCATGAAGACATTATCCAACACCATGAAGATGTAATCTAAACCCATGATGGCATCATCCAATACCATGAAGACATTGTCCAACAGCATGAAGATGTCATCCAATGCCATAAAGACATTATCCAACACCTCAGAGACATCATCTAACACCATGACAGCGTCATCTGATGCCATGGAGACATTGTCTAACACCATGAAGATGTCAGCCAAAGCCATGACAGCGATATCCAATGCCATGAAGACATTATCCAACACCATGAAGACATCATCCAATGCCATGAAGACATTGTCCAACACCATGAAGACGCCATCCAATGCCATGAGGACATTGTCCAACACCATGAAGACACCATCCAATGCCACAAGGACATTGTCCAGCACCATGAAGACATCATCCAATGCCACGAACACATTGTCCAACACCATGAAGACGTCATCCAATGCCATGAGGACATTGTCCAACACCATGAAGACATCATCCAATGGCACGAGGACATTGTCCAACACCATGAAGACGCCATCCAATGCCACGAGGACATTGTCCAACACCATGAAGACGCCATCCAATGCCATGAGTACATGGTCCAACACCATGAAGACGCCATCCAATGCCACGAGTACATTGTCCGACACCATGAAGACGCCATCCAATGCCATGAAGACATTGCCCAACACCATGAAGACGCCACCCAATGCCACGAGGACATTGTCCAACACCATGAAGACGCCACCCAATGCCACGAAGACATTGTCCAACACCATGAAGACGCCATCCAATGCCATGAAGACATTGTCCAACACCATGAAGACGCCATCCAATGCCATGAAGACATTGTCCAACACCATGAAGACGCCATCCAATGCCACGAGGACATTGCCCAACACCATGAAGACGCCATCCAATGCCACGAGGACATTGCCCAACACCATGAAGACGCCATCCAATGCCACGAGGACATTGTCCAACACCATGAAGACGCCATCCAATGCCACGAGGACATTGTCCAACACCATGAAGACGCCACCCAATGCCATGAAGACATTGCCCAACACCATGAAGACGCCATCCAATGCCACGAGGACATTGTCCAACACCATGAAGACGCCATCCAATGCCACGAGGACATTGTCCAACACCATGAAGACGCCATCCAATGCCACGAGGACATTGTCCAACACCATGAAGACGCCATCCAATGCCACGAGGACATTGTCCAACACCATGAAGACGCCATCCAATGCCACGAGGACATTGTCCAACACCATGAAGACGCCATCCAATGCCATGAAGACATTGTCCAACACCATGAAGACGCCATCCAATGCCACGAGGACATTGTCCAACACCATGAAGACGCCATCCAATGCCATGAGGACATTGTCCAACACCATGAAGACGCCATCCAATGCCACGAGGACATTGTCCAACACCATGAAGACGCCATCCAATGCCATGAGGACATTGTCCAACACCATGAAGACGCCATCCAATGCCATGAGGACATTGTCCAACACCATGAAGACGCCATCCAATGCCACGAGGACATTGTCCAACACCATGAAGACGCCATCCAATGCCACGAGGACATTGTCCAACACCATGAAGACGCCATCCAATGCCATGAGGACATTGTCCAACACCATGAAGATGCCATCCAATGCCACGAGGACATTGTCCAACACCATGAAGACGCCATCCAATGCCACGAGGACATTGTCCAACACCATGAAGACGCCATCCAATGCCACGAGGACATTGTCCAACACCATGAAGACGCCATCCAATGCCATGAGGACATTGCCCAACACCATGAAGACGCCATCCAATGCCACGAGGACATTGTCCAACACCATGAAGACGCCATCCAATGCCATGGAGACATTGTCCAACACCATGAAGATGCCATCCAATGCCACGAGGACATTGTCCAACACCATGAAGACGCCATCCAATGCCACGAGGACATTGTCCAACACCATGAAGACGCCATCCAATGCCATGAAGACATCATCCAATGCCACGAGGACATTGTCCAACACCATGAAGACGCCATCCAATGCCACGAGGACATTGTCCAACACCATGAAGACGCCATCCAATGCCACGAGGACATTGTCCAACACCATGAAGACGCCATCCAATGCCAGGAAGACATTGTCCAACACCATGAAGACATCATCCAATGCCATGAAGACATTGTCCAGCACCATGAAGACGCCATCCAATGCCAGGAAGACATTGTCCAACACCATGAAGACATCATCCAATGCCATGAAGACATTGTCCAACACCATGAAGACGCCATCCAATGCCACGAGTACATTGTCCAACCCCACAAAGACAACGCCCAACCCCAGGATCACCCAAGGACACCCCCAACCCCAACCACCCAACCCCACCTGAACCCCTCAAGGCCCCGGTGTCCCCACCACCACCGCCCCCCCGTCACCGCTCACCTTCGGCGCAGAAGGGCCCGCGGTGCCCGGTGCCGGCGCAGTCGCACTGGGGCTCCCCTCGGCGCAGGGTGCAGCGGCCTCCGTGGGCGCAGGGCGGGTGGCGCGCGCAGCGCTCCTGCCCCTCTCCCCGCACGCCCTGGGCGCCCAGCAGCGCCGCGGGGACCTCGCCCACCTTCAGGTTGGCCACCCAGCCCCGGAAGGGGGCCTCGTACTTGACGGTGCTGAGGGTGAGCGCCGAGAGGCGCACGTCCGGCGGGATCCCCCCCACGAACAGGTCGCTGGCCACCAGCATCTCGGCGCGCTTGGAGCGCACGGCGCCGGCGCGCGCGTCCCCGTCCACGGCCAGCGCGGTCTCGCGCGCGTTGCGGGTCAGCAGCACCATGTGCCAGCGGCCGTCGCTCACCACCGCCGGCGGCTGCACCGTGGCCGGCTCGGCGCAGGCGATGGCGAAGCGCAGGCGCAGCCGCCCCTCGGCCACCAGCAGCTCCAGGAAGTCGCAGTTGCCGCCGTCGTCCAGGTAGAGCAGCAGGGCCCGGGTGATGTTGGTCTTGAAGCTGAAGCTCAGTTGAGCGCCGGCACCCGGCGCCCAACGCTCGTAACGCGCCCATTGGCCCGGGGCGCCCCCGAACTCCAGCGCGGCCCCCGAGGCTGCTGGGAGCAGGAGGGACCCCAAAGTCAGCAGCACCAAGCTCAGGTGGGGGCCTGAAGGGAGCCGGGGACATCGATGGGATGGGGGGGGGGTGTGGAAGTCCGGCTCTAAGTGGGCTGTGGGGCCCTGGGTGGACACAGAGTCTTGGGGGGCCTTCAAGTCCATGCGTGCCATGGGGCTGAGGTTGACCTTGGGCTCTACATGGGCCATGGGGCTGTGGTTGACCTTGGGCTCTACATGGGCCATGGGGCTGAGGTTGACCTTGGGCTCTACATGGGCCATGGGGCTGTGGTTGACCTTGGGCTCTACATGGGCCATGGGGCTGAGGTTGACCTTGGGCTCTACATGGGCCATGGGGCTGTGGTTGACCTTGGGCTCTACATGGGCCATGGGGCTGAGGTTGACCTTGGGCTCTACATGGGCCATGGGGCTGAGGTTGACCTTGGTCTCTAGATGGTCCTTGGAGGCTTGCTGGGCTCTGGGCTCTTGTTGGACCTTCAGAACTAGACGGGCCATGGGGCCTTGGTTGATCTCGGGCTCTAGGTGGCTGTTGGGGTCTTGGTTGGCCATTGGGCTTTCATGGGCCTTCATGTCTATATGGGCCATGGGGCTTTGGTGGGCCTTGGAGGCTCGGCTGGCCAAAGAGCCTTGGTGGACCATCGGGTCTAGGTGGGCTGTCGGGGCTTGGTTGACCTCAGGTTCAATACAGTCCTTAGAGCCTTGGTTGGCTGTGAGGCCTGGGGAGACCCTCACGTCGAACCGGGCCATGGAGCTGTCACTGACGCTGGCCTCCAGCCGGCCCTGCGAGCTTTGGGTGGCCTTGGGCTCTGCATGGTCCTCAGGGCCTTGATGAGCCACGGAGCCCTTGGTGGCCATTGAGCCTCGGATGGACGTGGAGTCTTGGCTGACCTCAGTCTTTAGATGGTCCTGGGACCCTTGGGTGGCCAAGGAGACCTGGAGGGCTTTAGTCTCTAGGTTGGTCATGGAGCCTTGGTTGGTCTTGGAGCTGTGGTTGGCCATGGAGCCCTGGTTGGCCATGGAGCCCTGATTGGCCATGGAGCCTTGGTTGGCCATGGAGCCTTGGGTGACCATGGAGCCCTGGTTGACCGTGGAGCCTTGGTTGACCGTGGAGCCTTGGTTGACCGTGGAGCCTTGGTTGACCATGGAGCTGTGGTTGTCCATGGAGGCCTGGTTGGTCATGGAGCCCTGGTTGACCATAGAGCCTTGGTTGGCCATGGAGCCCTGGTTGGCCATGGAGCTGTGGTTGGCCATGGAGCCCTGGTTGACCATAGAGCCTTGGTTGGCCATAGAGCCTTGGTTGGCCATAGAGCCTTGGTTGGCCATGGAGCCCTGGTTGGCCATGGAGCTGTGGTTGGCCATGGAGACTTGGTTGGCCATGGAGCCCTGGTTGGCCATGGAGTTGTGGTTGACCATAGAGCCTTGGTTGGCCATGGAGCCTTGGGTGGCCATGGAGCCCTGGTTGGCCATGGGGCCTTGGGTGGCCATGGAGCCCTGGTTGGCCATGGAGCCTTGGTTGACCATGGAGCTGTGGTTGGCCATGGAGCTGTGGTTGGCCATGGAGCCTTGGTTGGCCATGGAGCCCTGGTTGACCATGGAGCCCTGGTTGACCATAGAGCCTTGGTTGGCCATGGAGCCTTGGGTGGCCATGGAGCCCTGGTTGGCCATGGAGCCTTGGTTGGCCATGGAGCCTTGGGTGGCCATGGAGCCCTGGTTGACCATGGAGCCTTGGTTGGCCATGGAGCCTTGGTTGGCCATGGAGCCCTGGTTTACCATAGAGCCTTGGTTGGCCATGGAGCCTTGGGTGGCCATGGAGCCTTGGGTGGCCATGGAGCCTTGGTTGGCCATGGAGCCTTGGGTGGCCATGGAGCCTTGGTTGGCCATGGAGCCCTGGTTGGCTCCTGGGGTGGCCGCAGTCTCTGAGTGCCCCTTGGTGCCCATGTCCTGGGTCATGGGGGTCTCTCAGTGGGTTGGGGGGGGCCCTGCACGGGGGGGCCCGGGCACCCCCGTCCTTCACAGCCCCATGGCGGGTCCGGTGGGCACCTGTGGGGGGGGGGGAAGTGTGTTAAAGGGGGGGAGCCAATGGGGACCCCCTCCTTGTTCCAGCCCATAATAAGTCAGCGCTGGGGGTGCCGGTCACCGCAGCAACCGGGCCCTGGCATTATGCAAATGAGCCCCCAGGTTATTTATAGCCCCCATCGGGGCTCATTAACATGCACCGCTTAATGAGCCAATCACGTGAGCGGCGGCACCTGCATGGGGAGGGGGGGAAGGGGGGGAGCAGCCCCTCCCCCAACCTGACAACCCCAACACGGGGGGGGGGGGAAACAGGGACCCCCCAAACCCCCCCCATAGGGTCTGGGTGCTCCCCATAAGGGTATGGGTGCTCCCCAGTGAGGTCTAGGTGCTACCATAGGGCTCTGGGTGCTGTCCATTGGGGACCGGATGCTAACATAGGGGTCTGGGTGCTCCCCATTGGGTCTGGGTCCCCCTATAGGAGTCTGGGTGCTCCCATAGGGATGTGGGTTGCTCTATAGGCATCTGGGTGCTCCCATAAACCCCCATAGGGGCCTGGGTGTTCCCATAACCCCACTATAGTAGTCTGGATCCTCCCCATAGGGGTCTGGGTGGTCCCACTGGGGCCTAGGCTCCCCCCATAGGGTCTGGATGCCCCCCTATAGGGGTCTGAGTGCTCCCATAACCCTCCCATAGGGGTCTGGGGGCTCCCATAGGGGCCTGGGTTGCCCTATAACAGTCTGGGTGCTCCCAGAACACCCCCATAGGGGTCTGGGTGCCCCCATCCCACCCCATAGAGCCAGGGTGCCCTCGATAGGGGGCGGGGTGCTCCTGTGCCACCCCCATAGGGCTCTGGGTGCGCCCCCCCCCGCGGGCACGTGAAGGTCACGGGGAGGAGACCGGGGGGGGAGGGAGGGGCACGGGGGGGGGAGGGAGGGGCACGGGGGGAGGGAGGGGATGGGGGGAGGGGATGGGGGGGTCCCCATTGCCGAGGCCTCGCACACGCGTGTGCCCCCGCCCTGCACCACCCCCCCCGCATGCACCTGCCTTGCACATGGGCCTGGACATGCAAACACACGTGTGCATGCACACACATACATGTGCACACATAGACACACACGTGTGCACACACACACATACATGTGCACACATAGACACACACGTGTGCACACACACATACATATACACACATAGGTACACACGTGTGCATGCACACACATACATGTGCACACATAGATACACACGTGTGCACACACACACATACATGTGCACACACACACATACATGTGCACACACATACATGTGCACACAGATACACACGTGCACACACACACACATACATGTGCACACATAGATACACACGTGTGCACACACACATATATGTGCACACACACACGTGTGCACAGACACATACATGTGCACACATAGATACACATGTGCACACACACATACATGTGCACACACACACGTGTGCACACACATACATGTGCACACACACGTGCATACAAACACATGTGCACACATAGATACACACATGTGCACACACACACATACATGTGCACACACACACGTGCATACACACACATGTGCACACATAGATACACACGTGTGCACCCCCCCAACCACACCCCCCCGCTGGTGCAGGCTCTTACAAGCGTGTGCACCCCCCCCGTTTCCATGCACCCCCCACGTGCACCCCATTCCCGTGCACCCCCCCCTTGCACGCTCTTGTGCCCCCCCCGTGTCCCAGCCCTTTTCCCATGCTCATGCCTTGCACACGCGTGTGCACTCGCCCTCCCCCCCCACCCGTGCACGTGCACCCGCAGCACACCCCCACCCCCCCCCTTTGCACACGCCTGTGCCCCGGCCCCCGGTGTCAAGGCCGGGCCCCCCCCCGTGCACACGCGTGCACGAGCCGGGGGGGGGGGGATGGGGTGGGGGGGAGTGGGGGAGGGGAGGGGCGAGACCCCGCAGTGGGGGAGGGGGGGGCTGGAAGGGTGGGGGAGAGGCTGCGGCCCCCAGACCCTGCCGTGGGGGGGGGGGAAGGGACGAGGAGGACGCGACCCCCACCATGGATCCGGGGAGCCCTTCCCCCCCCCGCCTCCACCATCCTGCCCCTCCCCCACCCCCCGGACCCCTATCCTGCCCCCCCCATCCCGCATCCCCCCCCCCACGAGCCCCCATCCCCGCCCCTCCCCCCGATCCTGCACCCACTAAACCCGCATCGAGCCCATCCCCCACCCACCCCGGGACCCCCATCCCCACCCCTCCCCCACCCCGGGACCCCCATCCTGCCCCTCCCCCCCCAACAGACCCTTAATCCCGCAACCCCCATCCCGCACCTCCCCCCCGTTACCCCCATTCCCGCCCATCCCCCCATCTCGCGCCCCCCCCAGTGCCCCTCCCCCCCCCAGACCCCCCACCCCACCCCGCCCCTCCCCCCCCGTGTCCCCGGTACCTGCCCCGGCCCCGGCCCCGCTCCCGCCGCTCCCGCAGCTCCCGCCCGCCGCGGGCACGCGCACGGCACCGGCACCGCGCGCCCCGCACGCCCCGCCCCCAGCCCCCCCCGCCCCCACCCCCCCAGGCTGAGGCTGCCCCATGGACACCACAGACACCCCATAGACACCCATAGAGACCCATAGAGACCCATAGACACCCATAGACACCCATAGACGCCCGCAGACACCCATAGACACCCATAAAGCTCCATAGACACCCATAAACATCCATAGACATCCATAGACACCCATAGAGCTCCATAGACACCCATAGACAACCATAGAGCTCCATAGATACCCATAGAGCTCCACAGACACCCCATAGACAACCATAGACACCCATAGACACCCATAGACCCTCATAGACACCCATAAACATCCAAAGACATCCATAGACACCCATAGAGCTCAATAGACACCATAGACACCCACAGACACCCATAGACACCCCATAGACACCCATAGAGCTCCATAGACACCCATAGACACCCATAACCCCCATAGACAACCATAGATCTCCATAGACACCCATAGACATCCATACACACCCATAGAGCACCATAGACACCAAACACCCACACACCCAAACCCAAAACCCAAACACCACAGACCCCCATAGACACCCGTTGAGCTCCATAGACGTCCATAGACACCCACAGACACCCGCAGACACCCATAGAGATCCATAGACACCCATAGACACCCCCATA